CTAAAAAGCATCGAAAGGGAGGAAGGATGCGCATTAAGCCTCCGTCAGAGTATAGTGTGCATTAACGGATCACGAAAGCGCGACGGGCGTCTTGACGCCAGAGCGTCGAAGTACCGGGGACACTGGTTGCTATTATTAGCGGCGTCGTCCTCTTCTCGTTTCGCGCTTCGAGAGGGAAAATAGCATCAGCTGACATCCTTCTGAAAAGAGAGAGAGAGAGAGAGAGAGAGAGAGAGAGACGCGGTACGGCTGAGAAATCTTTAAAACTCTATCGCTGCCAGTTTTACCGTTGTGTTCCGCGAAGGAACGAAAACACACATTGTAAAAACAAAAAAACAAAATTGTATCAGCGCTGTGTAAAAAAACTCCAAAGTGAAATTTTCACGACGTGCGACGACAAGTTATCGTCGTTCGCACGCGCATCTCTTCCGACCACGGAATAAAGACTTAATTGCATGTGTAAAAAAAGAATTGCGTGACACACGAACGTCGTTACATAAGTGTTCACATTTTTAACACACACACACGCGCAATGTATTGCGATTAGCAACAAATTAAAACAGTCAACAATTAGTGAAATATTTTATTGACATTGTCACACAATTCGAACCTCGGGTTATTCGTCCAAATTTTTTACGGAGAAAAGGGTAAAAAAAGGTCTTGATGAGCCAATAAGAGAGGAAACAAGGGGGAAGGGAAATATGTAGACGACGAAGAATGAACAAATGAAAAAAAAAAAAAAAAAAAAGTATTATGAGAGCGAGAACCGAGCGAAAGCGAGCCAATACGAGACTACAAGGCAGTTGGGGCTCGTGCCAGATGCGCGTTTACACGGGCCCTGAATACTGTAAATGCACTATCTGGTACGACATCTCTTCTGTCGCCGCCATCAGCGACCCACGAGTGGCACGACGTCATCTTTTCTGAGAGTGTCGTGTGATACACATACAAAATAAAACGTGTATATAAACTCGAACAATTATATCGGACTGCTGCGGTGTTTCTTTGTCACGAGCAAGAATTAACATATATCGGAAGGGCGACGCTACATCCGCTCTTCGGATATTACGCCGAAGCTTCTTACGAAGCTTGAAATCGTTTATATATATATATATATATATATATGTATATGTATATATATATATATATATGTATATGCTGTTTGATTATGTAAGAATCTTGAGTTCTGGTTCAAATTGGCGATGAAAAAATAATTTTCAGTTTCGATCTTGATTGCAAAACATTAAAAAACGAAAATGAAGTTAAAATCTTTCGAACAGAAAAAACAGAAAGTACCACAGTTTTATTTTGCAACGATAATTTTCTCTTACCAAGGATAATTTTCTATTCTCTAATCCATATTTTCAAGAATACTACAACTTATATATATATATATATATATATATATATATATATATATATTTTTCTCATTAAATTTCTTAATTCAGTTTTTACGAACACTGCGATATATTTGCTCTGTTATTCGCGCATCCAAATATTTTTCTTTATCTTTATTAACACAAATCACAACAGCATATACACAGCCATGTATGTAGTCAAACATCCCTCTGAACTTTTTAATCAAAACAAATGTCAAATCTTATTGTTTTTCACGAACGGTTTTCAGCGACGATCAAATCGCGAAGGTTGCAACTTTAATGCGTGTACTTTTTATTTTCAGTAATTAGAAATATTTTTTGAAAGAAGCATGTGAACAAAATATCGATTTTCAACTATGTATTTATGTTTTCGCAGCACCGGCGATGCGTAATTGTGTGTGTCGGAAGTCTCTCGTCGCGAATATTAATTTCGTTCAAAGTAACAGTTGCGTATTACAGAACTTCGCGTGTTGCATAGATTTACTTATTTATTTTTCGAACGATTGACGAACAAGCAACGCAACAGTGCCTGTAATTATCGTGACGTCACCGTACGCAACTTCTGCGTTAAAAGGTGATTCCACGCGGGAGAAATTCATTGAGAAACGCACTTGAATGTACGTATGGCGACAGGTAAATCTCCGAAACACACACACATACACACACACACACACACACACACACACACACACACAAAATCGCCAGCGCTTTCTCTCCGTTATCTTCATCAATGTGAAGTATCACATTTTGCGGATGGAAGATGCGCACCCCTCGAGCGACCGAAGGCACGTTGCGTTTCTCACAAATGAATTTTCATGTTCCGACAAATTTATAAATAAATATGTACAATAGCGTCTCCAATTTGACGGCGGATTTGTTAACGAAGGAACGCGCGTTGCAGCCCGGACTCATGTAATAAAGCTTCGCATATACGTGTATTTATTACCGATGGTTTGTGCGCACGCAGCTTATATATATATATATATATACATATATATATATATGTGTGTGTGTGTATATATATATATATATATATATATAGGATCACATATTGTATTTCAAATGGTAATAAAAATCATCTAATGCTTTTTTTATTTACTTTCACACACCAGCGCCTCATGTTAATCAATAATTTATTTGATCGAGTGAAGGTAGGTTTTAGAGAAAAACTTTTTGAAGTCTCTCTTCTCTGTATCTAATTAAACAAAATTAAAAGAAAAATTTGATTTTTAATTAATTGCAAAAATTCTGTGATAATTGTTATTTCGCAGAACAAACTTTTGTTCTGACAATAAATTGTTTTTATCAATTAACACAAAATAAGTGATCGGAGCTAGTGTAACTTATTGATAAAGTTTTTTTTTTTTCTTTCGCACGCGCGAGTTCAATTCACAGAACCTTACGTTCCGTTATCTCTCGGCAACAGCTGAACCGATCGGGTTTTTAATAGACCTAATCGATTTTGCTCCAAGTTTTATACATTATATAACGAAAGTATTTTTATTTTTGCTCCGTGTGTTCTATAAAGAAACATCATCCGTGTCGGAAAGTTTAAGAAATTTTTATATAAAAAAGTAGCATCCATGCATGTACATCGTCACATCGTCGTCATCATCGTCATCGTTGTTCACATCGCATATCGGAGATGTGTATATGGCGCTAAGATCTCTCTCGTCATATTCGGCCAATCTGTAAGTTTCTCTAGTTACGCGTATAATTAGTCGCACGGCACCGGCCACGTTTGCGACGTCGACATCTTCGGACCTGGAGGAGGTTTCTCCTCGTGGCAACCGGGAGGAGTTGTGACCGATCAGAAACGCACGCCCCCCCTGTGTGCGATACAATTGCGAACCTGCAGGATTATCCCCAGCGAACGCGAAATTTTTAATGTTTATAATTTAATATTTTTACACGATAAAAGAATTGATATATTTACTATTGTATTTATAAAAAAAATATGTAAACATATTTATATACTAAAAAAAGTTTATTTCAACAACATATGTTATAAAAACTTTTTGAATTTTTAGCAGTTTTAAAACATATTTTATATATGCCATTAGTTCGGTGCGTTTTTGAATTACTATATTTACTGTTACATTTGTAAAAATATGTAAACTTGTCAAAAAGAAGTTCACTCGAATAGCACAAAACCTTTTTGAAATTTTAGTATTTTTAAAATAAATTTTTCACTAGCTCTCGGTGCGTTATTAATATAATATTATACACAATTATGAATATCGACTAAAATTACAACTTTAAAAAAAACGTAGCTACAAAAAGTTCGATAACGTAATTTTTATAATAATGTCAAACGCGCGCAAAGTCATTTTCCTTCTTAATTGTTTTACTTCTGGAAGACTGTAACTCGGTTATGCTGACAATATTGATGTATGAAGAGGAAGAAGGAGAAGGAGAGAGAAAGAGAGAGAGAGAGAGAGAGAGAGAGAGAGAGAGAGAGAGAGAAAGAGAAAGTGAAGAGACGAAGATAGGGAGAATCAGAGGGACAAGCGAAAGCTCGAAATACGCAGTTAAAAATAATTGGCTTCTATAGAAACGGAAGCGAAGTACCTCTTGAAGCCAGAGATTCGTCAGAGGCAAGGTCAATCGATGGAGAGAAACACGTGGGCCACGAGTTTCTCGACGGTATATTCGCATTCTTCTTGCTTCGTTTGCAAAATCGCACGAAAAATTTATACTCCCTCCCCGCCCCCTCCCCTCTCCCCCCGATATTTCGTAAGTGTAACGGTCGCGCGGAGATCGCAGCCGATTAATGATAACAAAATTTTCTCAACGTTAGAAGAGCGTTGTTACATAACGCGCGATCAAATACGCAATCTGTATAACGTCGATAATTCGAAGAGAGATAAACCTTTTTGATAATGTTGAAGCGCTAACGACGAATATTTTCTGATTATTTTTTGCACTTTTTTAGTCGACGATATTTGCTTGTTGTGTGTGGTAAGGGGTACGTCTCAACACCGTACTGGTTTTTTTTTTTTTTTTTTTTTTTTTAAATTAAAAAATACGATTCCCCTAGTGCGCGTCGATTTCACGTCACGCGTTTTGGTTTATCTTGCGTCCGATGTGTAATCAAGTCGATAATTATAACCTGTCTGATACACGCACGTAGTTAGTTATTTGAATAATTGACAAATTTGATTTGTTGATGCATTAAAAGAGATGGATTTTCCGACGAGGGGCGTTGAGATTTCCAACACGTATATATATATACATGTGTATCGGAAAAACAGAACGCAAGAGGACGAGGTCCATCGAGGATTGGACAACGGAGAGCACTTTCGAAGCACAGAAGATGTCTCCTTCGTGAAAGAAGGACTTACCTTAGCGATCGGCATGTTGGCAGTGTGGTTAGCTGGTTGTGTGACTGATATATATATCACGACCGCTATCGGCACTGCAATTATGACGATCGCAGATCATCTCGTAAAAAGAATCGCCGTCGATCTTTGAAAGTTTTTGAATATCCCCGTAATTTCTTGATTATCGTCTATTAAAAAAAAAAAAGAAAAAAAATATTTTCTACATCCCGTTTGCGTGTTACGGCAAGACGACGCGTTAGCTCCGAACTAACCGCGGGATGTTTTTTTTTGCTTTCAGATCGGCCTACGTATCCTTCGGAGGTCTTCTGATGAGACTGCAAGGCGACGCGAACAACTTGCACGGTTTCGAGATAGACCAACACATGTACCTGCTGATGAAGAAACTCGCATTTTAATATCGTTCATGACACATTCTTGTTTATACATTTTTTACTGTATAGTAATTTACACTGTATAATAAAAATTTATAATAATTGATCCGATTTATTACTTTTTGTGTGATAAATTCTCCTTTTCTCTCCCCTCTTGAAATTTGAGTATTTTACGGCTGACTCTTCTGATCATTTACATGATAAAAAATTGAGTTATTTAGTTTTTGCTATAAGAAATTTAAAATAAAGCTATTGGTTTTTACATTGCAAATTCTTTTTTTATCGGAGGTTTGAATTAAACAGTATTAAAAAAAAATAATAATAATTTTAAGTTTAATAATTTGTTTATTTAACGTCTGAATTTAGATAAAATTTTTTATAAGAGAGCGTAATTGATATTGAACAAAAAACAGAATTCAGAGATACCGAATCGAGAATCTTTTATGTTGACCAAGTTAATTCCTTGAATGTTTTATTAGAATTATAAATATTATGAAATATTAGAATGAATATTGGAATTAGAAGACGAAATGTACGCGAGAAGTTGTGAAGCCAAATCTATTTAGAATGGATTGCCAAGTGCGTCATTTGGTTACAAAAATTATAAACAAGCGACTCATAAACACGTGGTGTTATCATCGGCACATAACTTCTTATCCATCTTGTTTAGTATGTATATACATACTAAACAAGATGGATAAGAAATAATCAATTTGTGTAATTAAAATCGAAATATTCTTTATTGTTTGTTTATGGTATGTACAAATAATAAATGTCCCCAGTCAATTTGCGCAATTAAAATTGAAACATTTCTTTATTGTTTTTTTTTTCTTATCGTACGTACAAATAATAAATAAATGTCGCCACGAGATAGATAAAATATGGACTAGACCGCATCTAAATATGGCGGTATCATTGTGTAACATTGCGCAATCTCTACGCAACACAGCGCGTATCAATAACCTGACTTAGTAATTAAAGATCCGATTCTGAGAATAAATTGGCCCGATGACATATAATACAGTTTTGCATTATATGCGTAACGCATCCTGTGTCTATTAGCGAGAATCGACGTCTCGAGTCTAATCGCGACAATGAAATATCTAATGGGATGACGAATTTCAATGTTTCTTATAATTGTTCTCTTCTCTTTTCTAGTTTAAAGAAAAATTTGCTTCGTAGTCATGTTTCTGTATAAAATTAACGATTTGTCCTTAAAAAAAAACTCTGACATTAACGTTAATTAAAACTTTATATATAATATAAAACTATTATATACGAGGGGAGGGGACTTTGCCTCAAAAGCACGTAATATAATACAAAACTTATTTACATCGAGCGCTTTCCGCTGTTTGATCAATATGCGTTCAGTTTTGTTGTTATGATGACACGTAAGCATTGATCGAACGATGTGCAAACGGCGAGTCCTTGCTTGTCCGGACTCCAATCCAAAGAGCTGATGGGTTGGGACGAGAGCGCACAGTTCTGCAGCAAGCTGACATTGCCCACGACTCCTTCTTCAATCCCATCGGCGTCTGTAGTTTTTCTCTTCTCCGGATAATTACTGAAAATTAATGAATGTATTTCAATATGTTTAATTTTTCTTAATTAAAAAAAAAAAAAAAAAAAAAGAAACGGATATATATTTACTATTTCCAAAGACATATCGTTCCACCGCCACCACAGGTTGCAAACAATTCACGATTTTGCGGCAGATGTTTAACCAGCCATATCGTCGATTTGTGAGCCTAGAAACGTTTGAGAAATAAAAAATCAAGACTATAAAATCTAGAAATATAAAGATAGAACAAAAGTGTGAATACAACTTGAATTAATTGGATGACGAACCTTTTGAACGAGATAGGCAAAGCCCTTCTCAGGATGTTGAGTCTTCAAGTCGAAGAGATAAAATTTCGATTCTAACGTAGTGGCGACCAGCTTATTCATAGGAATATCTTTTCTGTCAAATTCGAGACCGCACACTCCATTTCTTAAATTACTCTCCCATCTGACCGACATTGCTCTTAAGTCAAACATTTTAACATCACCGTTGTCATATCCAGCGGCCACTACTCTCTCCTCAGAATTATAAGAATTGCCAAACGTGACCGACCAACAGTCCCGCCGACTTTCGCCTTCTTTGGATTCCATGATGGCCACTGGTCGCTCCTTCTGTCTCGGATCCCACACTTTGACGCTGCCGTCTCTGGAACCCGTAACTAATTCAGGTGCACCGCATCCTACACTGGTACCCGCTACTCCATCAATAGCGTTTATGATTTGCGTATGAGCGTTGGCTGTGTAAATTGGTATCGAAGGATCTTCCAAGTTGTAAATATTCAATTTACCCTGCAAATGATGTTTCAGAACAAATATATCACAAAAATACATATAAACATAAATAAATAAATAAAATTTAATATAAATGTCTATCTGTACGAAGGAACAACAACCTTGAAATCGCCAGTGGCTAAATATCTGTCCCGAAGACTGGATGCCTTAAATGTTCCACACTTCATCTGACTAGATCTCTCTATGTCCTTAACAAGTTTCAGCTCGCCGCTGGACACCTCGTAGATTTGTATGATGCCGGTACCACGAGGTCGCGAGCCCATAACCACAAATTTCGCGCTACAAGGTATCCACTTGGCATCGAACAGCGAATAATCGACCGACTTTTCGATGTGGCAAATTATCTGCGGCTTCGATAATTTCTCCATGTCGAAATTTTGAGATCATAAAAATCTTCTTCTTTCTTACTTAACGTAGCGTCAGCTGAACTGTCAGCTGCTGTGTGTAGCTTACGGTAGTAACCATGTAAACAAATATGCGCGTCATATACGCACGCAGCAGAGATATCTCTACGGTCGTACGCGCGACACCCGTTATCAGGAGCGGCGCCACTTTGAGATAGGCCCCTCCGTTGGGGCCTCTGGCGGGAAGGACACCGGTAAACTTCATCGAGATTCAAAGTTTACAATCTAAATTGAATTTATATATTCTATATTTTTTTATTAGATAAAATTAAATATAATTTATATATATATATACACATTTTTTTATGTACAAAAATTACAATATAAAATTCAACTAAAAAAAAGCGTTACAATTTATATTATCACTTTATACTTTAAGCTGTTGCGTCTGGAGTTTGTACTCTTTGCTTAATTCCAATTGCCTGACTCTCGCGTAACACGCACTGGCGGCAAGAACAATCACGTTGCTCAGCCACCAGAGTAACGATTTTGTTTCGTTGTACCAATGCGTCGCCAGAATGGTTTGAGCGCATGCTTTCGCCGTGCCGCTGACGTTATGCGTCAGAGGGGATGTAACTTTTATTTGAAGCGCGGTGAAGTATCCGATAGCGAAACCGAACACGCCACCGGTTGCCATGATACCCCAGAAAACCGGGTCCCCGATTTTCTCGTAATTGTACACGACTGTCTGCTCTCCGGTTGTTATCATCAACGGAATGAAGATGATAACGCTGTAAATATTGTTGTAATAGGAGAGCAACCAGATGTCATGATTCACCGATGGAAGAGTCTGTTTCATACGAATTGAATACAATGATAAAAGTAACGATCCAAGAACACCGAAGATTGTTCCAAGAACGGACAGAGAACCGGCCACGTGCTCCTGATCAACACCTAACCAGAACCCAGCGACAATCGCCATGCAGCATATTACGCATTTGAGAGACAATTCTTGACCTGCAATGGTTTTGTTTTTAAGAATTAATGTATAATAATCGAGGATCTTTTTTTTTTTAATTTATATGCGCAGCTAGAAATGATTTGATTAAGATTCTCTCACCCAGTATGACATAGGTGAACACCATATTAAATACTGTTGTCAGCGAGCGGCCTACATAATAAAAAGCAACATCGACGTATTTCAAACACAAATTGTTACTTGCTATCATTCCAGTGAACAAGATTGATAGTGGCAGTACCTGTGCAAGTTTACAGCACAAGTTACTTGGTTGTAAAAATATAAGAAGTTCTTGAAAAACAAAGAGCAGATTATGAAGCAATGTTTTCTCATTTACATTTAAATGTTATTTCTTTAAATTTAACAATGTTGCAACATTGTATATGTAAATTTTTTCATGTGTAAAGAACTATCAAAAGTAAATAAGTGCTTTTTGATGCTTCTTTGCAAAAAACAATTAATGTATTAATTAATTAAGTATGCATTTTTTGAGACAGAAACAGATATATATATATATGTGTATAATATTCATTCAAGTATTTTCTTAAGTACCTTCTTTAAAGTATCCCTTTTAAACGGACTGTCTTGCGCCATTCTGATATAAGTCGGAAACCACTGTGACAGTTGGCGCAAACTGACGCAAATAAATACACTTACTACGCACTGACACCAAGTTATAAAAAAAGGAGCGTCCAAATTCACGGTTGTACTAGACAGAAGTGTCTTATTTACAAATACAGTTGCAATGGACACTATCCTGAAAAATATTGTAAAATGTACAACACGTTCCCTTCTGCATTTGGCAAATTAGACGCGAAAGAAAATTATTATAACACAAAAGTATATTCAGTAATCAGTTAAGCAGATAAAAGAACAATACACACACGCAGTTTATATTATCATTACTTTATTAATAATTTCGTAACTTACCAATACATTGCGATTACATATGTGATGTACATATATTTTGCAAAAAGTTTGTTTTCGAGCTCCATTTTGACACAAAAAACTTATTTTAAAATTTATTACCGTCTCAGTTGTAATTCAAAAATTATTATTGGATCTCAATTGCGATAATTGTAATCACAATCTTTTTATCAATTTCAATAAAGTTGTGCGGTACATGGTCTACAAATGCAAAACTGTGAAAGAGAGCTCTCTCTCTCTCTCGTGTTCACCGGGAAGAAAATAACCTCTCAGTGGGTGGCAAAAACCTTTCGTGTTCACCAGGAAAAATAAACGTCGATAAAACAATAATACATGTCAGTGTCGCGCGACAGAAATAACGCTTATCAAATTTGAGATAAAAAATATATATGTGTGCGTGGGTACCACAAAAACATCCGCTGTTTCTCCGGATCCTTGCAATTGGCTCGCGAGAGTCACGAGTGTGTTAATGCTTTAAGCTCGTATCAGACTTATTAAGAGCCGTCTACAATGGAGAGTTGTAGGCCGTAACAGTAAGAAATTGACAAATCACAATCGATTATTTTTCTGTACTTTGTCTGTGATTGGTCAATTTCTTACTATTACGGCCTACAACTCTCCATTGTAGACGGCTCTTTAGAATTTTTGATCGCGGACTTGATTGGAGTTTATCCAATCAAACCGAGATCACACTGAACGATCACAGGCCGGATGCCGTTGCGACGGTCGAATTGGCAACGACAATTCGGCAAATCGGCCAATGCGATCGGACCTAGACATGTAGACTCGGCCTGAGATCCTCCCACTACTGAGCGCAGCAAGTCGCGGAGAATCGACGTGGGAATAATCGCTCCGCTCCGCTCAGCCGGAGGAATTTTCAGTAGAGGATGTAGCGAAGAGAGCACCTTCCCCTCTCGCAATTATCGTGACCGTTCTGCAGGCGTGACTCACTCGGATAGTGTATGAATTATTTTACTCCCGTCTAAAAGAAGATCTCTCCTCGTGTGCTCGAGACGACATTTCACTCGCGCGGCGATATTGATCAATGATATTTTATTGCTTCATGTAATCTCGGGAGAATCCTTTTAGTACACACGGAGTGACGCATGTGCACATGTGTGTGTGTGTGCGTGTGTCGCGTGAAATACCAAGAGGTTGAGGTTTTCGCTTTAATTCGTGAGTCATCGCGGACGGGCCTATTATTTTCGTTTTGTTGACAATTTCTAGTATTCGATCGCGAAAGATAACGATTACTTTTTTTTTTTTTTTCAATAGTCTTTGACAATAGCAATTGTCGAGAGGTTTTCACGTGCGAACCTTGTTGTCGACAGGATCTCGTCAGTTGTTATCAGTTCTCTGTTGCACACAGAGACACGACGTAAGCGACGAGTGCTGTGAGAAAACAATTAATTACATTTGCAATTGGTTAGTTTCACGTCGAGAATAATTATTTTCGCGACAAAATTAACCGCGACAGAATTTCGTTCAGTAATTTGGTGTTCCACTTTTTCTTGTCACGTTGAAAAGAGATGTAGACTCTGGATTGTTGATAAAAAAAAAAAAAAATTTATTTGCAGTATCTTGTGTAATAAATGTGACGTTTTTGTGTGACACAGATTGAAGAACATTGCTGAACTCGGTCAAAATGGATGCTGGATTTTCATCCTACCACAACGGTGGTCCTGCTCGGGAGCAGGATTTTGGTAGACTGTCTCAAACCATCGGGACCTCGATATTGAAAATATCCCAGAATGGTAAGGTTTGGAATTTACGAAATTTAGAGAGAGATTTTTGAGAAATGTGAAATATATCTCGCTACTCTGTGCGTTTTGCAGTATCTTCCATGCAGAAGATGGTCAATCAGTTGGGTAGTTCCACTGATTCTCAGGAGCTCAGAAATCAGCTGTAAGTTGCAAGCTTGTACTTAACAAAGTATAAGAATGTATATATACATATATGTTTGGGTAACACTGTCTGATCTGTCTGTTTTTTAGTCACCAGATACAGCATTATACACAGCAGTTGGCAAAAGATACCAGTGTTCATCTTCGAGACCTAGCTATATTAGCAAGTAACTCTGGCTCCACAAGCCCTGGCGAACAGAGGCAGCGTAAAATGCAAAAAGAACGTCTTCAAGAAGAATTTACAAGCGCATTGAACTCTTTCCAAGTAAATATTGATCAGTTCGTTATCAATTTCAAATATTATCAAGTCTATTATTTTTTATGATAAAATAATATTGCCATTTGCAAATTCAGGCGGTGCAAAGACTGGCTGCTGCTAAGGAAAAGGAAATGGTCAGAAAGGCCAAGGCTAGCGCGGGCATCCCGCCGTTTGGAGAAAAGAAGCAGGAAACACTTATAGAACTGCAAAACAGTAGATATTCGAACGATGCGAAACTACAGCAACAGGAACAGCTGCAGGAACAAATGAACCTACGTATGTTGGAGGAACAAGAAGCCAGTATAAGACAATTAGAGGTATTTCTTTTTTGTCACAAATTAAGTTCAAATTAATATATCATATTTCTTTATAATTTACAAATGTATTTGTTGTTGTTGTTGTTGTTGTGACAGAGCAATATTAGCGACATCAATCAAATATTCAAAGATATCGGAGCGTTGGTGTACGATCAGGGAGAAGTAATTGATTCTATAGAAGCCTCAGTTGAGAGAACTGAGGTGTCCGTTACCGAAGGTGCTGCGCAAGTAAGACAAGCAAGCATGTATCAGACCAAATTGCGTAAAAAGAAGTGTATTCTCTTGGTGATAGGAGTTGTCATATTGGCGATTTTGATTGGAATCATAGCCTGGAAAAGCTAAATGTAAATATAATTTATATATAGCATTTATTTTATATATATATTTATACAATAGTGTACACACACACACAAACACACACACTCACACACAACCATACAGAATACTAATATGTAATGCTATATATAAAAAAAAAAAAAATAAATAAAAAAAAAACACCTGGCCTGGAAACGTAGATAAAATTTGTAGTGACGTTTCCTGTCCACAAAGTTAACTGCTTTAAAGAAGGAGCACTGTCGTAGAGAGAAAGATTATGATAAAGTGATTGTGATAATCATCGGTGCGAGCTCTGATTGTGTTTGAGCAAAGTTTAAATGATATCTATATATTATTAGTGATACATATTTATAAGATTGTTGCAGTCCATTTATATACTGTTCATTACTCATTAATATAAAATTGTCACTGTTCATACTGAATTAACTCCATGTATTATATTAATTATACATGTAACGCGTATATCTAATAATTTAAATAATTGAATCATTGTGCGATCATATGTGAAGATAAGTGTATGTGTTACGTATGTGCGCATATATATATATATATGTTATGTGTGTGTATTTGTACATGATGTAAAGTATGCTCGTTGTGTCTGACTGCGAACGCAATATAGCGCATGTACTGTAAAATATCTTAAAAATTTATTCCGAGAAACTCTTTTTGTGCGAAATAATGAGAGTGAGAGAGAGAGAGAGAGAGAGAGAGAGAGAAGGGCGAGAAGTAAGTGTTAAAAAGAACATATTGTAACATTTTAAGAAAGTCAGAAGATTTATATGTAAGCTGATGTACTATACTTTTTTTTTTTTTAGTTTAAGAATGTTGATTTTTATTTCCCACAGAATATAAAATAAATAATATATACAAAACAATTTTTTTGGAATACAACGTGTATCGAGGTTTTTAATTCCTTGCGATCGAGCGCACGATGTCTTTTGTTTCGCCGCTAAGCCAAGCTTTCCGTTCGCAGAAATAATCGAATATTTTTTTTTTTTTTTTTTTTAACAACGGCGATTTAAAAGTGGGAGGGGGGTTGTGTTCGAAGTGCGTAGCCTTGTCCTAGATTACGCTAGTGTAGCTCACGCTGCGCCACATACAGCCGCATATGCGCGGAAGAAGAAGAGCGTGCGATTGACGTCAATCAATCAGGTTGGTTGACCGTAATCGCGACGACTTGACAGGGTGCGTAGTGTTGTGTAAAAGTGCGTTTGCTGTGTATTTTACGCGTAATCATGAGTTGTGGATTTGTTACCTGCGGCCCGAACGAGGCCCTCGTTGTTTCAGGTAATCGAGCGATCTCTAATCCGTCTCTAGAAATTGTATTACTCTCCTTACATTTGCATGTTGTGTACGTGTGCGCTTATCTCTGATATTCCGTAAGAGCAAAAAAAATGGGAGAAGCTATTCCGCCTGCGGAAGTTAATTGATTTTGATGAGCGATGTTGGGGGAGGGGGGAGAGAAGGTGCGGCGGAATCTATTAAGAAGTTGTGTGTACACACATACATGATACATCATTTAACGAATGGAAAATTTTACCGTTTGGTTCATATACGCACGTCTGTATAAAAATGTATATAACTTTTTATTTATTTAATTCAACGTATATGTAGTATTTTGTTAGCGATACATTGTAGAGTAGCATTCGCAAAGTTGTTAGTAATTTTTAGAGAGATTGAACTGACAACAACAAGTGCGAACACGATCACGATCAAGGTGATCAAAAAACTATTGTAAAATTGTTTTAGAGACTGTAGTTTTTGTTTTGTTTATAATTTATATTCAAACTTTTGTTTTTGAAGGATGTTGCTACAGCAAACCTCTTTTGGTACCTGGAGGAAGAGTATTTGTTTGGCCCATTGTACAACAAGTACAAAAGTGAGTCTGTAAAAAAGTGCTATATAATTTGACTATAAGATATAAAATATAACAACAAACTTATATACACACATTGTGAATTATAGAATTTCTCTGAACACAATGACATTACAAGTCGAAAGTCCAACAGTATACACCTGTCAAGGAGTACCAATATCTGTAACAGGCATAGCACAGGTATTTGCAAAAAAATATGTTATATTCTGATTTGAATCTACAGATTGCTTGAAAACTTAGCAGTCACAGCAGTAATCAATTTATTACCAAATAATCCATTTGTATTTTAAAAGTTTGATTTGTGTGTAAACATTTGTTACTTTTCTTTATTTAGAAGATATCTATATATTGCAAAATGTTGTTTGGCACTAGGTAAAAATTCAAGGACAAAATGAAGAAATGTTATCTACAGCATGTGAACAATTTCTCGGAAAATCTGAGGACGAAATACACAACATAGCTCTTGTCACTTTAGAAGGGCATCAACGTGCCATAATGGGCAGTATGACTGTAGAAGTAAGCTAAGACACTGGAAAAGCAAGAAAAATAATTGACATGCTCTTTACAGTTTTCATCAATTATAAAAAAAAAACTTTTAATCAATTATAGAAATAATGAGCGTTAAAAGTTTAAAAATTTAATTTATAGAATTTAAATCTGTATTGCAGGAAATTTACAAAGATCGTAAAAAATTTAGCAAGGAAGTTTTTGAAGTTGCGAGTAGTGATCTAGTTAATATGGGCATTACTGTCGTGTCGTACACACTGAAAGATATTCGGGATGAAGAAGTAAGTTTGTATCATATTTTTATTGTACAAACAATAACTGAAATAACACACAAATTTTGAAAAAAAATTATAAGGATCACACAAATGACAAATATCTAAGTGTGTGTAAACATCAAGTATTTTGAAATACAAAAAATGAAATACAAAAAAAATATACTAACAATATACAATACAAAAGTATAAATCTGGTTTATCTATATTTAATCTAATAACAATGGAAAATAATATACATATCTTCAAGGTTTTTATAACCGATATATATACCGAAGTGAAAATTACTTGCAAAAGACCCCCTTTAAGTAATTTAAAAGTGACGTCAATAATTGAAATGTGAATAAAAAAAAGTTATTTGTTTGTTAATATAGTTAAATCATACGTATTGCAAATATTGAATTCTTTTTTGTTTTGCAACTTGCAGGGGGCAAAGGTATGTTAAAATTTTATTTCATCACTGTTATATCTGATGTGTCTCAGCACACCGCTATGTCTTCCGACGATGTTATCGCAGATTTCTTCAGATTCTAGAAAATATAATTTTTACAGTCTACTTATCGCTTATTCTAACAGCAGCACAATCGTGCTTACGTGCAATAATTTGTTTACTAAATACACATCATATCACTGTTTCAATTCAATATTAAGATATTTTTAAACAGCGAGAAATGTCAGTGTGATATTCTCTGCTTTAAATATTATATCTCTTTATTAAAAAAATTTTTTTTTTTAAATAAAAATGCAGTTTACAAAATTGGTATAGTATTACTTTAGTCAGAAAGATCTTATTATTACAAAAATGAGTAAAAACAATGTTAAAATCTCAAAAAAATATTTAAAATATTTTATAAACTATATTTAAAATACTTTATAAATATTTAAAAATATTCTTTAATATTGCAATTAGAACAGCGATATATATATACACACACATATATGTTGCCTTTATGTTATTTAAACATTGCTTACTCAAATGCTAAACTCATCGTATAACATTTCATTGTATTACTTGAGTAAATTCTTTATCATGTGTGGAAAGCTCATTTATAATATTTTATAGGGCTACCTGCAAGCGCTTGGTATGGCACGTACGGCAGAAGTGAAGAGAGACGCTAGAATAGGCGAGGCGGAAGCTCGCAGAGACGCTCAGATTAGAGAGGCTATTGCCGAGGAACAAAGAATGGCCGCACGTTTCTTGAACGACACAGAAATCGCAAAAGCGCAACGTGATTTTGAACTAAAAAAAGCTGCTTACGACGTCGAAGTTCAGACCAAAGTAAGATTTTTATCTAGATTTTTTCTTTTCACACAGAGTTTTGTTCTTGCAAGCAGTTTTTGTACGTTGGATCGTTTGTAGAAAGCTGAGGCTGAAATGGCCTTCGAACTGCAAGCAGCGAAAACTAAGCAAAGAATTATGGAGGAACAAATGCAAGTGAAAGTCGTGGAACGTAGTCAAGAGATCGCTGTACAGGAACAGGAAATGATGAGGCGCGAAAGAGAATTGGACGCCACTGTGCGACGTCCAGCCGATGCGGAGAAATACAGGTAGGGTTTGGTTTTTTTCCGCAATCCTCGTCCGCGAAGTTTCGTTACTTATCGGGAGGAGGGGCAAACGATTTTGGTTTTTTCCAGATTAGAAAAGATGGCCGAAGCGAACAAATTACGCCTCGTTATGGAGGCGGAAGCCGAGTCCGAAGCTATTAAAATACGCGGTGAAGCGGAAGCCTTTGCTATCGAAGCGAAAGCCAAGGCGGAAGCGGAACAAATGGCGAAGAAAGCTGCCGCATGGAACGAGTACAAGAGTGCGGCTATGATCGATATGATGCTGGATACGCTTCCAAAGGTGTGTTAACCCTTTAGAATATTCGTATCCGCTCGCAAACGCACCTGTCGCTGCGGCGGACTTATCCGTTCAGAACAATACGTTTAAGAAGAATAATTGGAGTTCGTAGGACGCGGAGGCAGAAATTTAAAAATTAAGCTCAATTACGTTTTGCACGGTCACTCAATAGTTTAGCAATCAGCTGCTGCGTAGAGCGTTCCGCGCTCTAAGGGCCATTCTACAATGAGTTGCAAAAGAGATATACAACTACTAAGGAAAAAATGTTATTTTTAGTTTTGCGGTTGGCCGTTGCGATTGTCAAAAGAAAGTTGATTAACTTTTAACTTTTGGCAACAGAGCAACCGGAGATAGCACTTTTCTCTTAATAGTTGTCATCTTTCGCAACTGGCGAAACGGAACATTTGCAACTCATTTGTAGAATGGGCCTATAAGAGCCAACGTCTTTGCGACATTCTCGATTGAAAGTTCAAAGATTCGATTCCTTAAATAAATCAAAAATATATGTTTGACTTTAATTTTCCTTAGGTTGCTGCCGAAGTAGCCGCTCCTCTTTCCCAAGCAAAGAAGATAACCATGGTTTCGAGCGGCAGCGGCACCGTTGGCGCCGAAAAATTGACCGAAGAAGTCTTCAATATCGTACAGCGTGTTCCGGAACTTGTTAAAAATTTAACAGGCGTGGACATTTCGAAGGTACAGTACGCGCCAAAAAACCTCGCGATTTTATATACGCGTCATAAAAACATGGAGTAAACTTATTTAAACTTGTGTTAAATTTGTTTCTTTTTTTTTTCAGTCGGTCCACGCCGCGTAAATTTGTGCAATGTGTTACACATGAAGAACTTTAAAGCTTCATCATCCGTTGTTCTTTGAAGTAGATGTTCGGAATCTGCTTTTGATATATACATTCACTTTAAAAGTGTCTTATACGATATGTGAATCGAGTACAATATTTGAAATTTTTTTCTCTCTAGAAGGATTTTAAACACACTTTCGCTGCCACTTTCCGTTTGTCTCCACGTGTGCGCGCATGCCGAAAAAGAAAAAAAAAAAAAGAAAAAAAAATATTGACGCATTCACAGATTGTCTGCGCAAAAAAGCAGAATAATGTGAATTTGAATTTTATCCATTGCTGCAATTTTAAAAGAGAGTTATGGCTAGTCTACAATGGGAGTAGGCAGTATAAAGTAAGAAGTAAGGTTCTTGGAGTTAATTTTAGTTTTGTCTATACGAGTAATATTATTTCGCGTTTTTTAACACACGTCTTTCATTGGCTAACAGTAAGGCAGTGCGAAATGGGAAATTGCCCATTTCGTTATTCCCGTCGTTTCTTCACCGAAAAATAGTTTACTCTTCTACAGCCTTTACTACCTTCATTGTAGACTAGCCATTACATCTGCATGAGAAATTTCGTTATCCGGACATTCCAACTAGTTCTTTATATGACTGGACAGTGAAAGTGGGATATTGTTGTATTATTGATATTATTGTCAGAAAACAATTCTTTATGTGTGTGAGATTAACATATTTGACTCTAATATATACATATATATTGATTCGCGCATCTCTGTAACGCGGAGCGCAGAATTGCACATTATTTGTGTGTCGAATCTCCCGATATTGTCGAATCCATGAAACTTTTCTGTAAGTCTATGCCAATGTACGTGCCGAAAACACTGTATTTCCATATAAATGTCTTATTGTATACATAATCTTTTGAATACTTGTCAAATAATTTTGTTCGGATTTAAAAAAAAAAAAAAAAAAAAAACCTACGCGGGAACAAAAACTTCATTAGACATCTATTAGATATCGCACGGAACTGTTAACGAGCTAATGGTTAACGCACTAATGGAGCTTTTGGTTCCGTGTCGGGGACGATCAGTATTTTATTATAATCGATTTTTTACTCTAGACTTTTTTTTTTTTTTTTCTAGTCCTCGAGAACTCGGTAATAAAATTTATACAACATCGTGTGTTCTATCTTTTGTCTTTTTTTTTACAAGACAGAAAACGACCATAATAATATAATTTTATCTTGTAGATGTGTACGCGTGCAAGGATCGCTGTGACCATTTGTATGAAAATTCGTAATTAATTACGTACCTACATAGCTTTTGAATAAATTCTCTAACTACGTACATTTATACGCCCGACATATACACAGCTTTAAGCAAATTGTATTCATTTCCATGTAAAAAGAAAAACAAAACAAAGAGAAGAAGTAAATGTTACTAGCGTATAGATCGCGTGTGGATTCATTTGTTTCACCTTTTTTGTTGTTGGTTATTTTAATTTTGTAATTCTCGCTCTCTTTTGACACACGGTGAAAAAACACGAGGTGACGTTTACGTTAAGATGTTCGATAGTGAAATATTTAATTTGATATATTAAATACATGTGTAAGTCACCAACACCGTTGAGAAACTTCTTCTACGGAGTATCGCTTATTATACACATTTTGAGAAAGAAGGTGAAAGAAACACAAAATGGGAGATTTGTACAGATCTTTTTTAATAGACTTCCTAGCGGGAGGTCTTTCCGCGGCAATAGCCAAGACTGCGGTCGCTCCTCTGGAAAGAGTGAAACTGTTGCTGCAGGTGCAACACACCTCGCCGCAAATCAGACCCGAGCAACGATACAAGGGTGCGTTACGGTTAAAATTTAATTAAAATAAATTTTGCCATCTCATATCCAATTGTAAGATCGTTAAACCGTCGCAATCCCACTAGGTATGATGGACGCGTTCGTACGCATACCTAAAGAAACAGGATTGGCCAGTTTGTGGAGAGGCAATCTCGCAAACGTTATCCGATACTTTCCGACTCAGGCGCTCAATTTTGCATTTAAAGACAAATTCAAAGCCTTGTTTCTGGAAGACGTGCCACGGGACGCGTTTTGGCGACAGTTCGCGGGAAATTTAGCTGCCGGCGGTGCTGCTGGCGCGACATCGCTTTTATTTGTGTACCCGCTCGACCTGGCTCGCACTAGGTACGTTTTCCATGTTACAAAAGTATCGCAAGATTTATCTCGGATATATTCGACACAAGTAACGACACAACAAAAGGCAAAACACAAAAATATATACCTGATTTAAACCAGTACAATAAAAAAAAAACAAACTTTATACGCGTATGAGACGATAATCCAATTGTTTTTCTTTTAGATTAGCTGCCGATGTTGGAAAACACGAGAAGCGAGAATTCAAAGGTATAAATGACGTTATAATGAAAATTTTCAAATCGGACGGTCTGTTCGGGCTGTATCGTGGCTTCACCGTCAGCGTGCAGGGAATTGTAATATACCGGGCGACATATTTCGGTTTTTACGACACCGCGAAGAGTATGCTACCCGATTCAAAAAGCACGCCGTTGTATATCAATTTTATTATTGCTCAAGTACATAAAAAAAAAAATCCTCCCGCCTTAAAAAAAAGTATATAAATTTTTTCCCCGTAAACAATTTATATAGAATGTATAAATTTGCGTTATTTGTTTTGCAGATAGTGACAACGGTGGCGGGCATCGCGTCTTATCCCTTCGACACAGTTAGGAGACGAATGATGATGCAGTCGGGTCGAAGAAAAACCGACATAATGTACAAAAATACGCTCGACTGTTGGATAAAAATAACAAAAACCGAGGGACCCGGTGCGTTCTTTAAAGGCGCATTTTCCAATATTCTTCGCGGCACCGGCGGTGCTCTCGTTTTAACGTTGTACGATGCGATCAGAGACTCGATCGAAAAAGCAATATCAAAAGATATTAACTAACTAGTAAACACGGTAAAAACTATATCACATACAAAACAATACGATTAAGAGAAATAGTTTCACGTTTTTACATCTTCTAAGAATCTTTCTTTTTAAGGCAACAACAGTATATACATATATATATTGCAGCTATATTAAAAAATATTTGATAAAAACCCAAGATTGTATATGTAATATAGAATTTGCTTTCTCATCTCTTTTACCATTTATTTTTTTAAAAGTCATCAGAATATAATTTAGTTATTTAATACTTAAGAATTAAATAAATCGACACAGCTGTAAGAAAGAATTGCGTTATCACTTATATTCTACAGAGTTTTATTTTTCTCAAATGAGAATGTGTAATTTAATGTGTCATTTAATTTAATTCAACATAGTATGACGATCATAAATATTCCGCCTTTGCTCGCGAACTTGCCGTTTCCACTTATCTTGTTGATGTCCGACTCTATTCAGAACATTGCCTCTTTCTCCCATCGGATGAGATGTTCCAGGTGCGAGAGACGAATCGTCCTTTGTGATGACAAAAAAAAAAAAATGACAGAAATTTATAAGTTTGTTAACGTTCCGTTCTCGTGTTCATACGACACATTCTCATGTTTTCATATCTACCTCTTCGTTATTATGCTCGTGATAACCAATATTTGCTGAAGCGTTATGTATTCGCTTGTTAAGTAAAGGATCCAAACAAATCAAGAACAACATATAAATTACTAACAACGATATAACCCATATAACTATTATCACCACAATCTGCAACAACAAAAAAATTTATTATACGACCCGTCATTAGCACTTTTGCAACGGTAAAAAATTTTTTGATGCTTTGTTTTTTTTGTAAAAGAATTGTTAATTATTAAACAGAGAGATACCTTAATAATAGTTGTGTTCCTATTTTCATACTTGCATTCACATCGCGAACAGAACTTTTCTTCCTTGCCTTTTATCTGGTCTCCAACTTTTGGCAGAACAACACTTTCGCATTTGCTATACAAATGTTGTATCAATGGCAATAGCAAAGTGTAACGAAACAAAAAAAAAAAGATTATTATGAATACATCATTATAGATATTAAAATTTACATCGTCGCGGTGCAATAATATATATGTATAAAATATATGTAAAATTCACAAACTAATTACATATATATAAAAACAAAAACAAATATGCTTTGGATTAAAAAAAAAAAAAAAATACAAGCATTTCAGAAATAAGATTAACAAAAACCCTACGCTCGCTGCGTGTTTACAAATTAAACAAATTAAAACAAATTACCATTGCGCTGGTGGAACGTTTATAATGTACGTGAGACGTTCCGTAGATTGCGTGGTGTTTGTAACGGACGAGAGACTCGGACAGATACATTTGCATCTTTTGTCATCGTACTGCGCCTGAAATTATTCGACATCGTCGGTAAACGTGTCTGCGATACGGTTTAAATTGAAAAATTTATGTGCGTCTCGTCGAGACACACACATCCTAACCTCGGACTGTGACAAACAGATTAGGATAAATATTGCAACGGGAAAAATGTACTTCAGCATTGTGTAATCTCGTTTAAAGGGACGCAGAAGCTTTGCGAGATGTTCAACGTGTGATTACACGCAGCTACGAATCAGAACAGTGGCTGTAACCGCGAAAGTTCGTCGATTTCAGTCCGTGTTTGGATCATAGCGCGCACCAACGTTTATCAAATGTCATTGCTATCAATTACTATTGATCACTATATATTGTTGCTGTCATCAGCACGCCAATCGAGATCGAGCGGACACGACACAAACCAAAGAATAAAGGACTGCCTACAATGGAAGTAGTACAAGGTCTGTTCTTTTTACCTGAACTGGCTGCACTAGTTCAGAGTTTATCTCTTTTTTACTTCACATTGGAAAAAGAAAGATAAACTCTGAACGGAGATCTGTTTACGACAAAAGTCGAATCGAGATCTGTTAAGAGCCGTCTACAATGGAGAGTTGTAGGCCGTAATAGTAAGAAATTGACCAATCACAGACAAAGTACAGAAGAATAATCGATTGTGATTTGTCAATTTCTTAGGCCTGTTCTACAATACAGTCGTAAGCTGTAAGTCGTAAGAAATTGACCAATCACAATCAACTATTTTTCTGTAATTGGTCTGTGATTGCTCAATTTCTTACGACTTACAGCTTACGACAGTATTGTAGAACAGGCTTTACTGTTACGGCCTACAACTCTCCATTGTAGACGACCCTTTAAGCTCGTTCTACATTGATCGCAAACGCAAGGTATAGATTTCGTAGAATTGACCAATCACGCTGGTCAATTGGCTGATTTGATCAATACGATTAGTCAATTCTACCAGACCTGTTCCTTGCGTTTGCGCTTGCGATCAATGTAGAACAGGCTTTAAACGCATTAACGACAGATTGCCACCAAACGCCAAGCAGGTTTGTTCGTGCGGACTTGGTTTGCAATTTGGCGCCAACACTGACGATGACCAAATCCTATTCCGGATTTTGGCTTCGCTTTGGCGATAATTTGGCTTCGCTTTGCTTGTGGCAGACTCTGTCATCATTTTGATCGCATTTTGACATTTCACATATGTTACTCGACTATATGTAAAATAATTATTTATAATAATTCTAGTTCTTGATATTAGAAAATTAATTGCTTTCCAAGGAAGCATTAACTTACAAAGCAGCGTTTATATATGCGTTTATCGGTTGCTCAACAAAATTTCTATTTGAACGGCCAGGTTCTCCTGGCCGTTCTAGTTTAGATTACAGCTTTCGAATACTTGCTTTAGCCATAAAATGTGTGAATTTGTAACTCAACTAGGAATAAGCAGTACCTCGAAATATTGTTATCTGTCTAATCGAATGCGGCGATACGGGAGGCGATATGTCTTATCGTGGCGGGGTCTGCGCGATGCGCGGGAGGCCGCATGCCGTTTCGCGACTTAATAGGTTTGTTTTTTTTTTTCCTGAACTGGCTGCACTAGTTCAGAGAAAAAAAACAAACCTATTATTTCGGTATAATTTTTGGCTCTGAGCGCCGCGTTTTTATACCGGGACAATTGGTCGGTTTCGGCAGTAACGTTGCGATAGCGCACACATCGTTACAAAGTTATTTTAAACAAAGTTCAGTCGTATCGTGTAACATTGCACAATGGACATCCTGTTTCAGATTATAATTGCTGTTAGCGCCGTTTTAGCATATAAAATAATAATAAGTGTGTATAAATATTACATTACATGGAAAAAACTCAAGCACATTCCTGGACCTACTTCTTTTCCTATTATTGGAACACTTGAATTTCAAAGGTTGAATGCAATGGAAGGTAAAAACAAACTAACAAAACGACTACATGTTTATTTACTATCTTCTATATTATTACTTTATTTATAAATTTCAAAAATATGTTATATAAATTAACTTTTCGCGAACGGATCCTAAAAATGACCTATAAGTCAGATAAACTGAGATCCACGCGACTTTAAAATCGAATATTTTCGCAAAAAATCAAAGTTTTCACTTTTGTCTGTTTTTTAATTAAAAGTTTAGACAATTCTGCATCGATAAAAAACAACAAATTGAAAAAATTTCTAGTATTTTCAAAAATATAAGCGTTTAAACAAAAGCCTGAATTTTTTTTTTGAACGAAAGACTTTTTGTTTAAAAATTTTTCATGTTTTTGTAATTAAGATTTTTATAAAATAAAATTCCAACACGGTATTGTAGAGAATTGCTCGTACTTTCAGAAAAAAATTGTCTCTTAAAAATTAAAAAATTAAAAATATTTTTACAGTAGATCTTTTGAGACATTTTTTGAAGAATGCATTTTTCTAGTGCTCAACTTTGACATGAAATATTTCAGTGATAAATCAATATTTTGACATATTTAATATTTTGACTTTTTTAATGGAAAATGAGCAATTCTCCATCAAATAAAAAACAAGTATTGAAGAAATGTCCAATAATTGCTGAGATATACGCGTTTGAAGGAAATAATTTAAGAAGAAAGTTCTTTTTTTTCAAAAAATCAGGCTTTTATTTTTAAATTGTTATTAGTTTTGCAGAAGATTATTTATAATTTGCAAAAATAAAAAATTAGTATAAAAAACTGTTATTTTAAAGAAGGTTCAGGTAAAAAGAATTTTTCAGCTATAGTGGTGAGTAATACAAGACTGTTTTATGCATTTTGTGATATTAAAAGGACTTAAAAACATTAAAATTAAAATCAAAGAAAAAGACAAAAATATAAATAGAATAATATTTTTTTTGTTTGACAGCACATTCCCTTCACGTAGCATCTTTTTCGGATTCCGAATCAAAATCAAAATATTCGCTATTAATCGCTGTAAATAGATTTTAATATATAAAGTACCATAAAATTATGAAAAAATATATCACTTACTTGACATATGAAAACTGCTCAAACTGGAAAAAAATTTACTTACTTTTCGAAAAACCAACGCCTTAGACAGACTTGAATCTGTCACAAGTAAATACTCACAAAGTTATTGAACAACTGACGTTGTCAACATCCTCTATCTTTGTCTAATATCTTAAAGTTCTTTTTTAGAGTTCTCAGATGTCATTCTAAACTATTATGTATAGGTATATAAATACCGGTTTGAAATTTTTGGGTCTGGGAAATCCATGTCTGTTCGCGAAAAGTTAATTATAAATTAATTATAAATTATGTATATTATATATTATATGTTTTACTATGTTTTATTTTTATTTTTCAGAACGTACGAAATGGTATCTAACACTTCTAAATAAATATAAAGATGGAATTATAAAATATTGGGTAGGATTTATGCCAGGAATTTGTCTATACGATCCAAATTTAATACAAGTAAGAGAAAACACTGATATATACTTAATATATTTGTGTATGTGTGTTTATCGACAAATATATAATTACACAATTATATGTATTATCATATGTAGTATAATATATATTACGGACAATACATTAATTTTTTGCGAGAAGAGAAGATTTTTTAGACTTTAGACTATCATTGACTAAGAAAGAACATCTCAAAAAAAAAAAAATTTTATATCTCTCGTGAAATCGATTTATTACTGATTGTAAATAATGAGCGCTATCGAGCATTATTCTCTTTTATTACTAAAGTCGCTTGCCACGAAGAGCGAAAAATCAGAATAACGTAATAAATGCAATCAACAACCTTTAGCTCGCTGATTGCTTGCGGGTGAAATGTACACTAATAATATATATCACAGAACAAAAACTCCAAGTAAACATTAGATATTGCATGGAACTGTTGACGTCCAATGGACATCTAATAAAAGTTTTGTTCTGTTTGGGATGGTAGCCAGACCCATGAAAAAGTTAAAACGTATTCAAAATATATTTACAACAGTTGTAAATATAGACAATTGTATTTAATAATATAATTGTATTTAATAATAATTGTATTTAATAATACAATTGTATTTATTTATTTAATATCTATATAACTTTGTAAGATAGCACTAAAAAATATATACATACATTGTGTATAAATATATTCATGTGTGCAGGTTGTTCTTTCAAGTAATATACATATTAATAAGTCATATGACGTGATGATGCTAAGTGAGTGGTTAGACGATGGACTTCTTACTGCAAAAGGTAAATAAAACAGATGTAGAAAATATGTTTTACAAATATATATACACACACACTTTCTCTCTTTTCCTTTTTTCTATTTCATATTCTTCTATATAAAAAATATCAGTATATGTATATGTTAAGTACGTCACTCTCTACGTATAATCTCATAACTCCAAAACGCAAATTTTAGAGAATAGCAGTTCAAAGATTTAAAACTTTATATGTTTTTTTAGTTAAGGAATTCTTTTGGTTTTAAATTTTTATCTTTTTTATGAATATTTTGCTTTAATATTTTGGTGACCATGAAGAAAATGACTTTTTAAGTTTGTCATTATGCAACAAACTGAAAATCCCGTATGTGAAACTTATGTAATTTTACGTAGGGAGTGACACGGTTAGTATGTTTACATTTTACGTGTAAATACATCTCGCACATCTCAGGTGAACAATGGCACAAAGACAGGAAACTTCTTACTCCTACATTTCATTTCGATATACTGAAACAATATGCTTTGACCATGTCTCAAAAAACGGAAATGATGATAAAAGATATTGAAGAAAATTTAAAAGAAAACCCACAACAAGCAATTAGCATCATACCTTGTATTACAAAAGTTGTCACCAATATTATACTCGGTAAGACATCTGATACAACATAAAGATATATTTACGCATAATTCAGCGGGAATTAAACAATTACACAATTATATACTCTCAGTTTCGTAATTGTATTGAGATTTATATTGATTGACATGTTGCTTCTTAATTATTTCGTTTGATCAGCCCACACAGACATCCGTCCATCCAGACATCCATTAGACATCTATTAGATGTCGCATGGAGCTATTGACGTCTAATGGAGTTTTTGTTCTGTGTGGGAGATAGGACACATAAAAACAAAAATACATGACCGATGACTGTGACACGATATTTTTAATATGAAAACAAACGAAAAGCTAACACTGACTATTTAACACTGACTTAGAGCTTGCAATTACTAGATATTGAACTTGACTGTGTAATTATAAATATTTATCAAGTACATATTTAATTTCTTGCGATTAAGTTGTATATTTTTATAAAATATATTATATTATATTTTAGAAACTGCGATGGGCGTAAATTCACATGAAACTATATCTGAATATTCAGAAGCTGTGGACAGGTCCGTTTATAATTCAAATATTGTTAGTTAAATATATAAAATAATCTTAGTTTTCTTATATTTTAGCAATACATTTTCTTTAATTAAACAAACAGTGATTATTTTTTTTATAGATATTTTAACTTCCACTGTACGCGTGCAACTAACTGGATTTATTTGTTAATGCATGAATTAGGTCCGATATGTGCTTTAGTTCCTATTATAAGACAAACTAAAGCAACTATTACTTATATGCATAACTTTGCAAATAAGGTAAGAAAAAAAACACAGATAATCCTAGATCTGTTCTGTGAATTTGCTGCTAATTTGGCAGCATATTGCTATATAATAGATATGTTAATCTGATGATTTATTTGCAAACAGTCTTAGTAGAGATTTCTTACAATTTTCAGATAATACAAAAAAGAAAACTTGTGCGTTATAAACAGAATGGCAAAGATGAAAATTTACAAAATGATTACGATGCATCAGGTAGGAATAGAAGTTATCATAATCAATTGAGAAATATATTCATCAAAATTAGAGTCTGTTGAAAACTTTCATAACAGCAAACAAACTGAACTCTTATATAAAGAGTTCTACTAATTAACGACTCCAAAGTTGAGTTTAGAAAAATGCAGTTTGAAAGATATTCGACATTTGACGCTTGTGTGAAAATTATAGGCTCTTTTCAAAATAAAGCAGCAATCAGAACTATGAAAATTTAATATTCAATTTCCAACTTAACAAACGCTTAAAATTACCAGTTTATATTATTGTGATTTAAAAAAATTTTAACATCAAAAATATATATTAAAATATATTCTATTAAAAAACACCACGCACGTAAACTTTGTTTTCTTACAACAGATTAATTATTTTATTTACTTTTAACTCGCTTAGACAAGTCGAGAAGAAAAGTGTTTTTAGATCTTCTATTAGAGTTGAGGGACAATGGCAACACTTCATTATCTGATAAGAAAGTGAGAGCACAAGTCGATACATTTTTATTCGCGGTGAGCTTGAAATATAACAAAAACTTCCTTCTAAAAAGAAACGTTCTATATATTACTTTTATACTTAAAAAATAAAATATATAATAATAGGGTCATGATACAACGAAAACGTCAGTTAGTTGGGCGCTCTTTTGTATCGGCAACTATCTGAAACATCAAGAAAAGATTCACGAAGAACTAGAAGAAGTGTTTCAAGATTCACAGAAACCAGCGACCGTACAAGAGATCTCGCAATTAAAATATCTCGACAGAGTCATAAAAGAGTCGCGCAGATTATATCCAACTGTACCTTATATAGCGAGGGAACTGTCAGAAGATACAAAAATAGGTAAGAAAAGTTTTTTCATTTTTTCTTTACACAAATACACATGCTCATATACACACAAGTATATTTTTAATGATAAATAAATAGACACAACGCAAAATATTATCATTACATTTCATAGGTATTTTATATATTCAACATTATGTTTTTATATATTCAACTATTTTGCAGGTGATTATATAATTCCAGCCAATATTCGAGTTTTTATTTTAATATTACTGCTGCATCGGAATCCAGCTATTTGGCCAGATCCGTTAACATTCGATCCAGATCGATTTTTACCTGAAAATATCAAATCAATGCATCCGTACGCTTACATACCATTCAGCGCGGGACCAAGAAATTGTATCGGACAAAAATTTGCTATGCTCGAAGAGAAAATTATATTAACGGCTATACTCAGGAAATGGAGGATAAAATGCGTGGAAACTCCTGAGACAGTAATTATAAAAAGTGCTATTGTTTTAGTACCAACTCAGGGAATTCATATCGAATTTATTCCGAAAAAATAAATATTATAAAATAAATATTATACAATAAATATTATAAAATATTATAAATAAATAATATTATAATATTATAAATAATATTGTAAATAAATATTATTTAAAAAATAAATATTATGTATCAGTTATAGTTCATGTGCGTTGGATAAACATTAATAAATACAGTAAAATCTCTCTATTTTTAACTTTGGATTTTAAAAACCTCTTTATTTCTACCATTACTTCTCTATCTCTCACTTTTATCTTTTTATTTTCTACGCACAAAATGGAAATGGTCTTAAATCACTATTTAAAATTGAGAAATATGATTTTATAGCCTGTATGTGCGACAGATATAGTGTGTTATAAAAGTCTCGAAATGGTCAAATATTTAAGAAACGGAACATTTTACACACTTTTTTTATTTTGCGACTGCTTCTTGTTAATTATATCTTAACTTTACTTGTTAACTTGCAATTGAAGAAAGCTCCAGTGAGAGTTTGAAATATTTCGCGCTGTAAACGTTTGCAATTTTCTTTTGTATGATTTACCATTAAAATCTTGATTTTTGCTTATTATTGATTTTATTATTTTTATAAGTTTTATTTTCCTTGTTAAAATTTGTAAAGAATATAGTTCGGACATGCATCTTCTTTGTTGCTATTTTTGATGCTACTGAACTGAATATTTTTTAGTTATATATGTATGGTAAGCCAACCGCCAAATTAAATGTCATTTTTAAAAACTATACATTAATACTACATAACCGCAAAGAGCGAGAAAATTTACTGATTTTTAATTACTTTTTGTAACTACTTAAACAAATTTAGATTATTTATTTATACACTCATATAATCACATGATAATGTTGCTATGGTAGAGTGAGAGAAAAGCGCAGAAGAAAATGTTTAAAAAATGAAGTTTACTAACATTTATCATCGTAAAAAATACATACTTCTGTCAAACCATTAAGCACATATTTTATTTTAAAAAGATTACAATGAAACTCCAGTTTATATGTACTCCGGTTGTATAAATGGATTTTTTTATTGCAATGACTGATCAACTGAACTCTAGCTGAGCTCTTATTATCTGAACAACTACCGGTAGTTGTAATTAAAAAATAAAAAACTAATTGTGCTAAAATCAGATGTCAGATTTGCATAAATATATTTTGTCAATTAAAACAGATTAATATGTAGTAATTTTTAAACGTTACAAAACACCAATATAAGTGCGTTTAAATAAACAGCGCAAACTTTTTGCAAAGTTCAAAACACTTTGTACATCTTATTATCGATAACGAACACAAAAAAGTAAGATAACATATATTACATGTTAATTACCAGTAGTATCATCATATTGTGTAAAACGCCGTTTTAAAAAATACATAAAATTGTATACTTAAAGAAGTTTTAAGACATTACATGAGTCATTAGTTTTTGTTTATCTCTTTCCATATCCTTGAGAAATACATAACAATATCCCAAGTACGTAATACATTTATGCACAAAATAATTTACAACTTAATGAGTTTTAAGCTAATCATGGTTTAGTTTATTGTTGTACACTACTATTTCTTTCTTCCTTTTTCTTTTTAAATGTAAAAATAAAAATGTAACTTTAAATACATTCGAGGAAATAAAAAATATAGTGTACAATTATTTACAGCTTAGCATGCAAACTGCGTATTTAAGATATATACATATACATGTACACAGAAATATAAAGGTTTTAGAAAAGTTTTTTACAAAAGTGTTTACAGGAAGTGTTCTTATAGGAAGCAACGATGAACATTTTCTCTCTCATTATATATATTATTAGCGTTATTTTAGGATGGAAAATAATAATAATTGCGTATTTTTATTACATTACATGGAAAAAACTTAGCTGCATTCCTGGACCTTTTGCTGTTCCTATTATCGGAACACTTGAATTACAAACTAAAAACACTAGTAAAGGTACAAACTACATTTATATTTACTAACTGTACTATTTTTTATATATGTGTGCTACATACTATATATTTTTTCTAATAATTACGTATATTATTATATAATAAAACTATATTAATAGCTCTAGCACAATGACCAAATATTTTTTCGCTAGTTTGATATTATATAAGCCTTTATTCGTTCTAAATTATTATAATAGTATTAATATTATTAACGTTTTTTTTACTATGTTGCAGAGCGCACAAAATGGTACTTATCACTTCTACATAGATTTAAGGATGGTATTTGCATATTTTGGGTAGGACACATTCCAACACTTTGTCTGTATGATCCAAATCTAATACAAGTAAGAAAAACTAGTATATACAAGATATTCCTAAACTCAGTGCCAAAATTGGTACAGCGGCTTTAACACATAAAAACAACAGAATTACGGAGTATTGAAGGTGTTTTCGAAAAAAAACATGAATTAAAATAAATGTTGTTTAATGTTCTTTATTCTGACTAAACTTTACAAAAGATGCTCAAAACGATACCCATATTATTGTTTTTCGTACGACTAACAAATTTCAAAAAAATCTCCAAAAATATAACACCACGTTATGGTGTAATTTCTAATTTATTTATTTGTTTACTTTTTTACTTATTTACTTCAATTCATGTTTTCTTACAAAAGCAACTTCAATACTCTAATTACTCCCGAAATCGTTCGAGTTCGAACATATGGTTATTAGACATTTTTGACTTGTTTTTATATTCTAAACTAAAGCCACTGTATCAATTTTGGCACTGAATTCACGGACACTCCGCATATATATAATATATATGTTACTATATCTAAATTTTAATTACTATCTTTAACTCTGAACTTCCAAAAATGTTTACTAGTTGGACTGTGTGGATCTTTGAGACCAACGCGACTTTAAAATTAATCATCTCTGTAATAAATCAATATTTTTCAAATTTTCTTTTGAATCAAAAGTTTGAACAATTTTGCGTTGATAAAAAAAAACAAACAAATTGAAAAAAACTTCAGTGGTTTTGTAAATATAATTTTTACTAGAAGCGCCGATGCGCAATTTTTGAGTGGATCTGAAATATTCATGCCACAGTCCGCGAACGATAAAATTACTATCTGTAATTTTGTATGCGTGCGCGTGTGTGCTTGTTAACGGTTGATACGTATACATAATACGCATTATACATTTGTTGTTTATAATACATGTTTATGTATTACACAAACATATACATTTTGATACATATGTATATGTTTTGAAGCAAGAAATAGTTTTAAAAGTGCACTTGAGTGCACAATTCTTTTTTAGCCGCATACAGATATGTAAAATAAAATTGCATACAGATATGTAAAAGAGGAATGGCTGATTTTTTAATCATCATTTTGCATATCTTTTGTGCAGTGTATGTAGTTAATGAACATTTCTATAAAATACATATAGAAAATATTGAGAACTTTTTTTTATGCGATAACAATTTTGCAAAATGATAATACACTACGCACTTTCTATTACTTTAATTATTATTTTCAGATTGTTCTTTCAAATAATGTACATATTGAAAAACCAGATGAAGTGTTGCTTCTAAGAGAATGGTTAGGCAATGGACTTCTTACTTCAACAGGTAAATAAGAGACCTAAATAAGACTTCATGAACATTCCAAGTGATAAAAAAATAAAATAAAGAACATACACCACATCTTTCAGGTAAACAATGGCACAGAGATAGGAAACTTCTTACACCTACGTTTCATTTCAGTATACTCAAACAGTTTGCCGTAATTATGTCCGATAAAGCGAAAAATTTAATAAAACATATTGAGAAAATATTAGAAGAAAATCCAGGAAAAGCTATCAATATTCAGCCTTCTATAGATAAGGCTGCCATTAATATTATACTTGGTAAGAAAATGAGAAGTAAAAACAGAATGTAATTACATAAGAATATATATATATATAATGTGTATTGTAGATAATATATTCTAAAGTAACTTTACTTTATATAATAGTATAAATATATAGTAACTGCAAGTAATAGATTATTTGACAAAAACTTTATCGCAAATTTTAATTGTCAAAGATTTTTCACAAACAACTAGCAAAAAACGATTATTTTTTTAGAAACTGCGATGGGTGTAAACGCATATGATATAAAAAGTTTATTTGATTATAAGATGGCGGGATATAGGTGAGTTTATAACTGCTTATGTTATTCGTTTACTATATAAAAATATTTTAGTAAGTTTTATTTATAAATTTAGAAAAACTAATAGAACGATTCCGCAGAATTGAAACAAACATAAAAATGTACAAAGTATATCGGTAGAAAACTTAAATGAAATCAGTTCCTGATAGTTCGGGTTTACAAAGTTTTGCAGACGTAATATAAAAATTTTATGAATCAGAGTGCAGAAATTAATGAATAGGATTTTTTGCAGATATAATCGTCTGTATACTCATCGTGTAAATAGCTGGTATTACAGACTGTTAAAACCGATACATAATTTACTTCCTATAACAAAGCAGATTCGAGAAAATGTTACTTGTTTGCATAACGTTACAGACGAGGTAGGAAATATAGATTTGATTTGACAAATGCAATATGCATTTCATAATTATTTGACAATTATATAATAAAGAGATTAATTTATTTATTCTCTAAAACATTAATTAAAACTGATACTGTTAGTAAATCAATGTTAATGATAAAAATACAATTCATTTATAATCAACGAGTATTACATAATGTTAAAATTTTTTAGGTAATACGAAAGAAAAAACTTATTCGTAAAACCGAAGGTGAACTAATTGATTATGATATACAAAGTATGTATATAACTTATCACAATATATAATAAAAACTTAGAAAATACTATAGGGTGTGCCAATAGTCTGGAATCGCTAAAATAACTTTTGAAGAGTTCGAAGTATACTTCGATTTAAAATTTGCTTTTGTACAGTCTGCCCACTATATCTTTAAAACTAAACGGTTAATCATTTTGATTTTTTTTGTAATGTTTTTAAGTGTCTCTTCTGCCATATATCCGTTTTTGGTCACTCTCTTGTTATTTTTTCTTATTATAGAATTAAAAGTACACGATTTTTGTATGAATCACACTACATAGGAAAGGTATAATCTTTGAAACCAATTATCTCTCACGTTCGAAACGGTCAATCTTTTTAAAACTTGACCAGTGTTTAAATATTACATTTATCAACGTATATCCAAAGTTTCAACTTTTTCTTGTTAAATGCAATTCGCGCTACAACGTCCTTAAATGAGTATAAAAAAATAACTAACTTTGCGGAAAAAAATCGTAGAAATCTTCTGCGTAGTTCTCGTCTCAGAAAGTCTTTCAAACAAACTCTCATATGTTATTTAAAATTTTTTGGCCCCTCTCTCTTCACCGTTCCCAGAAGGTGAAAGTTTCCGTGATTAAATGATAGGTTTTATAATTCCATATTGTATCCCTAAAATTTCAATTCTATACTTTAAAAGTTATTTTCGCGTTTCCAGACTTTTCGGCACACCTTGTATATTAAAAGTTCATATTTGTAGTTTTATCTTTATAAAAACTATATTGACAAATGTTTTATATTTAATTAAAAAAGTAACTCATGTAATGTTTGTACTAAAATTATTTATTACTGAATTAGACAAGCCGAGAAATAAAGCCTTTCTAGATCTTCTATTAGACCTAAAAAACAATGACGCCACTTTATTGAATGATGAAGATATAAGAGCACATGTCGATACATTCATGGCCGCAGTGAGTTGAGTTCATGACATTCTATTCTTTATTTCAGTTGATTCAAATACCCCTCTTAATGAAAACATATAAAGTTTAGAGAAAAAACGTATATAATAAATATTTTTATGTGCTACATTATAATAAAATAACAGGGTAATGATACGACGAGAATATCGATATGTTGGGCGCTCTTTTGTATCGGCAACTATCTGAATTATCAAGAAAAGATTCACGAAGAACTAGAAGAAGTGTTTAAAGATTCACAGAAACCAGCGACCGTACAAGAGATCTCGCAATTAAAATATCTCGACAGAGTTATAAAGGAGTCGCGCAGATTATATCCAGCTATACCTGCTATAAAGAGAACTCTATCAGAAGATACAAAACTAGGTGAAAAAAATATGAAGATTTTTTCTCACAAATGAGTACAGAAATCTAGTCACACCAAAACGCATTTTTAGTAGTGAATAAATAAACTAATTTAAAATGTGTCATATGCATGTTAACATCCTTTTTTATAAATATTGTTAACACTTTGACGGCCGCGTATATGTATGATCTCGCTCTGCCATCAATTGTCAGTCGGCATCATGTATATATGACTTCGCTTTTTTTTAATTTAACACTAAAACGTAAGGCAAAATGGCTCATGTATAATTTCTGCGAGAGTCGCTGGCGATAAATAGGAATCAGACAAAATGTGCGGCCGTCAAAGTGTTAAGTATTATAAATATGAGATAAAATTTATATAGTATTAACACAATTTTTTATTGCAGGTGATTATATAATTCCAGCCAATACTCGAGTTATTATTTCAATGTTACTGGTGCATCGAAATCCAGCTATTTGGCCGAATCCGTTAAAGTTCGATCCTGATCGATTTTTACCGGAAAATATCAAACATACGAATCCGTATGCCTACATACCATTCAGCGCGGGACCAAGAAACTGCATCGGTCAAAAATTTGCTATGCTCGAAGAAAAAATTATATTGACAGCTATACTCAGACAATGGAGAGTAACATGTACCGAAACTCCAGCAGACAAAATTGCATTGGAAAATATTATTTTGGAACCGTATCAAGGAGTTTCTCTTCATCTCGTGCCAAAAAAGCGGAACAAAGAAGCGAGTGGCAAGTGACACAGTTTCTTGCGATCAGCTAATTTTTACAATTAAAAATTATACACGCATGGAGAGTCCGGACAATCGCTTATCGCGCGCTCGTTTTGGATCAGATGTATTACTTAATCACTCAATAACTATTGTGAATTTTGCAAAATAAAATATACGACTTTTCGATTAATCCAATTTACCTTCAAACTTCGACCGTGTCAAAATTTTTCAGACACCCTGTGTATGTTAATTTTGAGCGACTATATGGGACTGCCAAATGTAACATGCTATCATAGTTCAAGTTTTACCGTTCATTTTTGCTTCAATTAAGATTCACTTTACTTTCAATGCAGCTTTTAATTAAAAAAAATGTTACTGTGAACCGATGTAGTATAAATTTCGAAAAGAAAGATACGCCAACGTATATAAACGATACATTTTCGATCTTGTATACTAGTAGATCGCAACAATATTTCTTTTAAGATTTATATTTTTATGCATTGAATAGTACTGTACAAAAAATAAAATATTTGTGAAAAAAGGAATAAATTAAATTACTAGAGGCATGATCAACTCCATGATTTTTGAAATTAGGTCTATCCATAAAACACGTGTGAGGTTTTAATTATAATACTATTTAATTGCAGTAAATCTTACAAAAGTTCAATCAATTGCTTGATATTCTTGATAACGAGCTGTTTTTCTTCTACTGCCGCTCGATTACAGTTTCTACGAGCTTCTTCTTCTATTGCTGCTCCAATGATTTTTTCATAACGTTTATACAAATCATTAGAGATTTCAGGGATATCAGTACAAGTTAAAATTTTATTGAGAGCAGTACTTCCAATTCCAGAATTTACAGTTCCTGTAATGCGATAATAGTTTTTGTAATAACAGTTTGTTATTATTATACGAACTTTATCGTTTGATTTCATAGATTTAATAAATAAAATTCGAGCATTCCAGGCTATACTATTCAAAAATTGTTTGAAGTTTTTCTATTTCATTATTTTAGTGATGTATGTCTTAGACTAAAAAGTATTCACCAAGTATAACCGAAGCATTAATGTGAGATACGTTTTTTTCTATTTTTCCAGTTTCAACTTTGGTAGTAATATTGCACTGCTCACACAGAACATCCAAAGTTGAATGTAATCCTTTTCTTTTTTCAGATTTTATATTTTTCAAGTCTAGACGTTGTGCGCATTTGTGACATTTGAGATTCTTCGTTAGTTCTGTCAAGTCTATAATACGATGGCCTTGTACTACCTCTTTCGAGTAAGATTCGCTCAAAACTTTTGCCACGCGTGCTTTCTTGGCATTCGACATGGCCAATAAAGCTTTGTTATGTCTATCTTTGAGTTTTTTTGTGGTAATTCTTCCATTTTTTAAGCGACTTTTCACTTGTGACATATCGCTGATATTATTACCTCACAACTGACTAGTAGTAAACAGTAAACACGTGTATAGTCAAATTGATCAAGCGTGGGTACTGGCTGTGTTCCAAAATTCACTGCCAGCGCTAAAGATCTATAGTTTACGTCACATATATTCTACAATGGCCACGTTCAGCAGACTGAGCAGATCAGTGAACGCTTACGCCCGTTTTCACCATCTCCAATTAACTTAATCGGCGATTAAGTATCAGTCGTGATTGGTTCATTCTGCTAAACGATTAATGCGACTGGCAATTCCAACGGAATAATCGGCCGATTAAGTTAATCAAAGATGGTGAAAACGGGCGTTAGTGATTCTTTAATATGATTGAATCTTGCCTTTAGATCTTCACTGGATCTAAGTGTAGAAACCAATCATATTGAAGAATCACTAAGCGCTCACTGATCTGCTCAGTCTGCTGAACATGGTCATTGGGTGCGTTCAGACAACTCAACAGTTGCACAACGGTTGAGAGATAATCACTTCTGATTGGATCATACTTTTGGAACCGCTGCAGATTTTGAAGAATAGTCCTATCATAAGTGATGATCTTTCAACTGTTGAGTTGTCTGAACGCACCCATTAATTGTGTTCACACGTACGTGGTATGAAGCTGTGCGCACATCCCCTCCATGCTGCCGCTGCTACCGCATGCTGCCAAACGTTCGGAATCTGGCGTCACTGCTTTCAGTCTTCTTTCTGGATCATTCTGGATACAGCCATCTTTGCACCAAACCAAGTTTTCTCTCTGATATAAAGGAAAAATGGGCAACAGCGACAAAGAAGTACATCGTATCGAATTTAAGAAAAAAAGTAGAAAACCATTGAGAAGACGTCAGGATTTCTCGGATGACGATGAGAACGAGAAGGAAGAGATGTCTGTCAGGTACGTGTATATCTTCCTGCCAATATAATTTTTTTTTCTAACCCAACCTTCTCTTCTGCTTGTGTTGTATATTAATTGTGTATTTTAGCAGCGAATTTGATAAAACTCGCGTAATCATGATAACATTTATTTTTTTTTAGGGAAAAAGTTGAGGAGATGAAGATAATCCAAAAGCTTCGTGAAAAACCACCTGGTGTCGACGTTGTCGGTTTAGCTCTCGGAGATAATGTTGCGTCCGATGTGATAACAGTAAGAAACAATCGATTAAAAATATATATAAGCAATATAACAAAAAGAAAATTTATATAGAGCAATGTTATTCCTTTATGTTATATCTAGTCTGATCCTTTCGATATGAAAACTGGAGGAATGGTGAATATGGCTGCGTTGAAGAACATAAAACATAAAAATGACGCATACGAAACAGGTATTGGGACACAGTTTAATGCGGAGACTAACAAACGAGACGAGGATGAAGAAATGTGTGTATTTATACTTTGCTTTTTGTCATTTCTTGATGATCTTTACAAAACACACACACCGATCATATCATAACTTGATAAAAATACATAATCTAACTTAACCTAATAAAACTACTTGTTGCTACAGGGTCAAATATATAGAAGAAGAACTGTCAAAACGTAAAAGCAAAAATAACAATGACACGACAGATAGTGCAAGTAACGAAAAAGGATTGTATTGTTCGCCGGAAGAAGCTGCTTTACGAGCAGTACCCGAACACCTGAGACAAAGTTCAGCCAATCGTAGTGAGGAGATGCTTTCAAACCAAATGCTCTCAGGCATTCCAGAAGTTGATCTTGGCATAGAGTAAGTAATGTTTGTTTGTAATTGAAACATAATAATGATGAATGTAGGCAAATCCACACCGTAGTTTTAACTTTTGCTAGACTTTTTTTATACTGAATCTAAATCTGAATTGTTTTTCATATGCACGAGATGTATTGTTTTTCGTATACTATTTAGAAATACTAGTACAACACAAGCGCGCGCTACGCGCACGCTATTATTGTTTTCATTTTCATGTGTTGCATCAGTGAACACGACCTGTCACCGCGATGACAGCTAATATGTACATTTTATAAACTATGTAATACACCTACGAGAGATGTCAATAATAACGCATGAAAATCAAACTCAAAAAATAAAAGAAAGAGAGAAAAATGGAAAAACAACACGTGACAAAGAAAAGAGTAAAAAAGAAAATATACATATACATATATATAATATATATATATTATAGATAATATTCTATATCTATATAATACACACACACACATATATTATATATATACCGTAATCACGTGACTGAGGTCAGTGATCCCGCCCCTCTTCCACCAAGGCTGCGCGGCCAAGGTCAGTGCCCCGCCAAGGCCGCGCGGCCGAGGTCAGTGACCCCGCCAAGGCCGCGCGGCCGAGGTCAATGACCCCGCCAAGGCCGCGCGGCGTAGGTCAGTGACATTACTGTACTGGAAAGAAATATAAATATATCAATCTCAATCAGGTAAACTTTGCGCCGCTTACTTAAAACCATTAACACATGTAGATTGGTGTTTTTTTAATCTAATCTATTTCAGACATGTTCGTCAATTATAAGATGTATGTGCCGCACATTTGAAAAAAGAAATAAATAAATAAATTTTCATAAAAGTTAAAACTACAGTGGATTTGTTTATATAAAAGCTGCGAATATATATATATTGTGAGAGTAAAATAAATTTATTGATAACACAATTGATTTTCAGAGCTAAAATTCGTAATATCGAAGCCACGGAAGAGGCAAAGTTGAAATTGCTGTGGGATAGACACAGAAAGAAAGACGGACCTTCACAGTTTGTTCCAACTAACATGGCTGTGAACTTTGTGCAACACAACAGATGTATGTATTTCATTGTTTTGTAGTTAAAAGAGAGCAATTGTGTAATGTCTCTCTTATGATTGCAGTTAACATAGAAGACTCAGATTTTCAAAAGTCGGGACAAGGATCTGATGACAAGAAAAACTCGACTGCGAAGGGAGATTTTCGGGGCAAACGAAAAGATGGAGAAAAAGCAACCGATGATTATCACTATGAGAGATTTAAAAAGCAATTCAGACGATTTTAAATCAAACTTTTCGAAATCCTTATTTTTTTCTGAGTTCCGAAAGTTGTGGCAACTGGTTTTTGTCGTCACAATTGTTTTTAGATATACACTTGTATCTATATATTAATTTATTGTAAATAAAGACGAACTTAAATGTGAATACTAATATAAGTGCAATATGAATAAAAAACTTTAATTAAGATACAAAATTATTGTATGTTTATTCGCATATCTTTTTTAAGAGGCATGCACAAATATAAATACCTTTTCTTTATTTGTTATTTTTATTCTCGTGTTTGCAACTTTTTGTATTGTTATCAATATTTCACAAAGACAAAATATTTCTTTTTACTCTATTTGCAAATGCACAGTTCATGACTGCTTATAAAACATTCGATTCGTTTTACCGCTACAATATAAACAATACAATATAATTGGAGTAATTTCCCTATTGGCTGTTGAGAAACGCCGAGGAAGGCCCGTTCTACAATACAGTCGTAAGCTGTAAGTCGTAAGAAATTGACCAATCACAGACACAAATTACAGAAGAATAATTAATTATAATCGGTCAATTTCTTACAGAGAGAAGACTGAGAGCGGCCATCCTGTTGTAGTTTTTTAATACGACGGTTTCGACCGTTGGGTTTAGCGCCGTAATATCCACAAAAGTGGATCTCGTGTGCCTTTACCTATCCTATCTTTGTTTAACTTTCGACGAAAAACAAGGATGGAAATAATTCCGTGAGCGTTGCGAACGGCAAATGGAATTTACTCAAGCCGGAACTCGCTGCTGTTGTGCACATCCCCTTTACCGCGCTTGTAGCATGCTGTAAGAGATTCAAAACCAAAAACTGCGAACATACTGCCATGCGTACGATCAGATAATACCGGAGAGAACTGACTGTATTATTGTCGAGTACATATTTGTTTGATGATAATTTGCTGAACAAAATGAAGACCAAACCGACTCGTCACAAGGAAGCGAACACCTTTCGGGTAAGAAAAGTTGCTTTGGTAATTAAAAAGTAACCTAAGTTTTTAATCCGGTCTTTTTCTCGCGCAGTTAAAACCATTTTCCGAAAGAGTTGCGGAAATCGATGTCGATGTTTTTCACCGTGTGGCGCATCGAAATGAAGACGATTCGGAAGATGTTGAAACTTATTTCCACGAGACGCTTCAAAAATGGAACGGCCTCAATCTGACGGACGGTTATACCGTCTTCAAGAGACAAGTGCGTGATATTGTTACGTTGCCTCAATTGCTTCACGAAAAGCAACGTGTGATCGATACGCTTATGGAATATCTGAAGAAACGAGATTCCTTATTTTTACAGCCAATTTTAGAGTAAGTCACACGTTCAATGTAAAAGTAAGCGCACATGCGTATTGTTTTGCATTTTTCTTCATAATAAATCTGATGTTTCTTTTTCCATAGATTAATTGTGGCCGTAGCCAAAGATCTTCGGAAAGAGTTCTACGAATATTTTCCAGAATTCTTATCTCAAATGATCGATTTGTTGCAAACCAAAGATTCTGAGCAAATAGAACATACGTTTACAGCTTTGGCTTATCTGTTCAAATTTCTTTGGCGATATCTGATAAAAAATGTGAGAGTTGTTGTTTCTCTGTTGCTACCGTTGCTGGCTGACACTCAGCCCGCTTATATTAACAGATTTGCTGCGGAGAGTTTTGCATTTGTGGTTCGTAAGATCAGAGATAAAGAATCCTTTGTAAAACTGGTTCTACGTATTTTGAAAGATAACGAGTGTGGGATACAAGGTTGTGGAAAGTTGCTGTTCGAGGTTGTATCAGGCACACCAGGACAATTTCACTCCTGCGGCGAGCAAATGTTGTCGCTTTATTTCGATGCTCTGAAGGATGAGTCTGTTGATCAGAAGCTCGCTTTCGAGGTGTTGGGAGAGATCGTGACCTGCATTTTGCAAAACGTACATCCACAAAAATGCACCGTTATGTGGAATGTAATATTGAAGGTGACGGATGTGTTTGTGGAAAATTCAAAATCGTTGGAATCCTCCGAGAGGGAACATCCTTTGGTCCTGCTTCTGCGTCTTGTACATATCGTTATCAACTATAAAAACGGAACGTTCGTGACTGACGTTGTGTCATTGATCAAAAGATTCACTGTTATTATTGACACATCAAGTGAAGACAACAATATATTGGAAGAAGTTTTGAATGTGTCTGCTGCCGTTCTCTCAGCGTCCGCTGTCAAGATAATGCAAGAACATTCGAGTCACTTACTGTTAAAAATCATGGCGGTGAATAACACGGAATTGTTGCACTCTACCGTTGAAAAGTTAATTAACTATTCGTCGTTCGAAATTCTGATATTACCTCACGTATTGAAACGAAGCTTCTCTATCGGATTTGACGTTAAGACGTTGCTTTTGTTCGGCAAGATAATTCTCGCAAAATCATCGCCTTGTCTCAGCGGCGTAACTCTGAGCAAATGGAGAAAGTATATTCTAGATGTACGTAATATGAAAACTGAGAACGTGGATTATTTCTCGAGAGAATTGAAAACGCTGTCCACCGATAACGTTTCGCTCGACGCAATGAGAATTTTGTTAATTTTACCGCATATGAAACCGCTGCAAGAAGAGTTTAAAGAGCTTTTGAAGGATGGATTACAATTCTCGTACAAGAAGATATTGGAACACGACGGTTGTACCGTGGAAGATACGTCAGATGTTAAGAAAACTGCTTTTATATTTTTGTTAATACTGGAATCGATGATACACATTTCGGAACCGAACGATCTGCACGAGTTTCTGATCAAATCCGACATAAAACTGCTTGATCTTGTTAAAAAACATCACGATAACAAGTACGTCTTGAACGCGATAGATCTTTGCTTAACTTATTTTGCCGCGTCGGAGCATCATTCGTTCTACATCAACGGTGTGTCGTTTGACACGTTAAACGATAATATAGCGAAGAAAATGAGTTCGCCCTACGGTGATGTTCGGTTGATTGTGTCGCATATATATTCCTTGTTCTCCAACGTCGAAGAGTTGAGAAAGTCTTCGAGACAAGGTGATGGTAAAAGCGCCATGGAACTCGTCTACCTAGTGGAATCTGAATCCGTATCGATACAAAGTTATCGAACAAAGTTGTTGCACCTGCAAGCTCTGGGATTTCGGACCAGCGCGATAGCCAATCTAGATCCGAGGTATTACGAATTTCCACTGCGTTGTCTGATAGGCAATTTGTTCGTCAATTTCTCTCTGCTCTGGGAACCCGTGAGCGTGATAATAGCCGATTACGGTAACGCGGAGTGTCCGCAGTTCTGGCCGACGTTTTTAACCGAACTGACGTCCAACAATGTGCAATCCACAATCGAAAGAGAACCATCGTTCGATTGTCCGATCATCTCGTCTCTGGAAATGTCGATAGAAAGACACGACGACAAGCCTGACTTCAATAATTACAAGATTCTTCTTTGGAAGTGTATGGCGCATTTCTCGCATTACGCCGAGACGAAGAACAGAGATCTAACCGGATTGTTTATCGACTTCGTGAACACGAATTTCTTCAAATCCAACACCGAAGACGGCAAGTCCCTGTCTCTTCTCTCTTGCAACGTTGAGAAGAAGCGCGAGAAACCGATCGACGCGACGGATAACGTGACGGACGACGAAACCGACGACGAGGATATTGAAGAAACGAGAGCCACGCAAGCGAACGCCAAAGACAGAAATCACAAGGTGAAGCTCTTGATCGCTCAGATGGAAATATTCGACAAGGTGCGGAATCCGAAAATGTTGCACAGAGAAGCGGAAATGCGTCAGATCTACTTGGACTTGCTTTCTTCGAAAAACGCCGACGTACAGAGAGCCGCTTTGAATTGTCTCTTCGCGTACAGGTTCAAGTATCTTTTGCCGTACAAAGACAATCTCTACAATTTGGTGAGCGAGAAGAATCTGAAGAACGAGCTCGCGCGTTTCAAGTTGGACGAAGAGAGCAACATGATAGAGAAGGAACATCGTGACGATCTCGTGCCGATTGTAATGAGAATAATCTACGCGAAGATGATCATGAAGACCGGTATGAGAACCGGCGGGAAAGCCGGTGGATTCGCACGGCGAAAGCTCATACTGCGCTTCTTGAGCGGCACGCAGGAGGACGAGATGATCGCGTTCGTCAAAATGGCGTTTAAATCTTTCAAGTACATGTCGTCAAACGAGTCGTTAAATTTGAGACAATACACCGAGAACATCGTCAACGCGATCGATCTGAGAAACGTTATGCCGCCCAAACGCATGCAGAGCGCCGTGAATCTGCTGACGATTCTGATGGAGCAATTCGGCGGGAAAATGTGCACGAGATTGTTACCTTGCTTGTTCAGACTATTGATCTGCATCCTGGCAGAGGTGACCGGCATTCTGCGGAGATCGGACGAGGTTTACTCGGGCTATCTGCTCTCGATCAAGAACGTGAGGACAAGCTGCATCGGCGTGCTGGCCAGATTTTTCACTCACTTCGAGAACTACGATTGGACGCGGCACGAGATAGACGCGCTCTACCAAGTCGCGATATTTCCCTGGTTACAGAAGTTACCCGTCGAGAGCATACACAGTCCCACAGCTCTGCTCAAGTTGTTCATGGCGTGGGGCGAAAATTCACGGTACTATCCGCTGTTCGTGAAGTACCGGGAGGGTGACGAATCGATCACTCCTCTTCCTTACATCGTGCAGCTGCTTTTGAATCCCAAGACGCACCAGTCCGTCGTCAATGCCATTCTAGAGATAATTGTGAAGATGTTGACGCTGCAGGATTACGGCAAGACCGACGAGGACGCGATGCAGGTGGACGACGTGCCGTTTTTACCTCTGACATCGGTGCTCACCGACAATCTGCTCGAGGTGGACAAAACGGCTCTCGCGAACGGCGTCAATTACGGATCCGCCGTTCTTCTGCCGCATATTCCTCGTATTCTGGAATTCATGAAGAACAAATTAGCGAGATCGAACAAGACCGTGAACAAGACCGAGCTGGTCATATTGTCGCGCATTTCCGAATTCGTCACAGATGCCGAGACATGCGACACCGTTGTGAAACTGATACTGCCCATACTGATAAAAAAAGCGGCGTTCGGCGGCAACGAGGAAACCGTCACGAAACTGTTGACGACAGTTATCAATCTCCTGAGAATCGTGAAACAGCCGGAGATTCATGTGCGCGCCGTCGCGCCGCTGATAGGTCTCGTGTCGGACGTGCCCGCTCGCAAACTTCTTCTGCAACTGTTCAGCACAATTGCCGAGAGATCGTCGGAGGATCATCGCGAGACGATGACGCGAGAGCGCGACGTTCTGATGGCCCTTAACGCCTGGGATCGCAAGTGGATCGAACAGCCTGATTTCCAGAAGAGATTGGACGCTTTCGGAGAGATCAGCAGAATGGTCGAGGAAAACGCGATCACATTGGAATTCGGCGTGATCGCGATACACAATTGCTTTTACTTCTTGAAAAACGAGTCGGATTTAGCGACGAAGGATTACTCCGGTCAGTGTCTGAAGCTCGTCGGACCGAAACTGGCTAGGCAGCATCAGAGCGATGCCGCGAACAGACGTTACCTGATGGACGACACGATTCTGGCGCTCACGAGAAAGGGAATCACGAGCAAGAACGAAACTGTTCGGTTGCAGTCGATGGCGTTTCTGGGACACATGACTCTGGAATGCGCGGACGTGCATCCGATCTTGCGCGACTTGTCTCTGCTAGCCAGTCGAACCGATCCCGAGGTCGATTTCTTCGAGAATATGCAACATCTGCAGTTGCACAGAAGAGCTCGAGCTTTGTTGAAGTTCTGCAACGTCGCCAAGACTTTAGAGAAACCGTTCAATCCCAAGACTCTGACGCAATTTATTCTTCCTCTTTGCTCGTCGTACTTATGCAACGAGGCGTTCGTTCACAAGAACAGTCTCATCGACGCCTCTATCGAGACTCTCGGAATGGTGTGCAGACTCTTACCGTGGCATCACTACGAGATCATTCTGAGACATTATCTGAGCAAGCTCAGAAGCTCCATGGAGTTTCAGAAGCAAGTTGTCAGAATAGTGGTCGCGATATTGGACTCGTTTCATTACGATCTCTCCAAGTACAAATCAGATATTTCGCTAAGTGAAATCTCTTCGGTGAAAACCGAAAGTAACAACGCTGTCGTTGGCGAGGAAGAAACTGGCAAAGCGATCAGCGAAAACGTTGACAATATTGTGAGCGCGGATGTGTTGGAAATTGAGGAAAATTTGGACGAAGCGCTGAACAACGAGGAGAACGACGCCGAGAACGTTGAGGAAGTTGCAGAAAAGAGCGAAACGATGAAAGAAAATGTGTCGATAATCGAGAAACAAACGGTACTTTCTCAGTGCGGGGCGAGAAAAGTTGTGTTCAGCATATCGAGGTGCATGCTGCCTCAGTTACATCAGTCAATCGTAGCCAGAACTCGGCACGACAGCAATCATAAAATCAACAAGAAGAAAATCGCATCCGAGACGGAAGAGGACGATTTGCTGCGAGTTCCCATTGCACTGGCGTTCGTCAAATTGTTACAGAAGTTGCCCGAGAGTCTTCTAGACGCAAATCTGCCCGGGTAAGTTCACAACTTCTGTATGTAGAAAATGTTTTCCTTATTGTTTTTTTTTTTTTCTGAAAATGAGAGTTTTAAAACCGCACACGTACGTGTGTTTTTCAGAATTTTTATGAAACTGTGTGTATTTCTTAAATCGCGCATGGAATCGGTTCGACGTGTAACTCGGGAAATACTGCAAAAGATCATGGTAACATTGGGACCGAAGTATCTTCATTATCTCTTGAGGGAATTGAACACGCTGCTGACCAAGGGTTTCCAGGTGCACGTTCTCGCGTACACGGTGCAATCCGTGCTGGTCGCACTGAAGCCCTATTTTCAGCAATTCGACATTAATAACAATTTACAAAGCATCCTGTCCGTAAGTGTGCTATTATATACATTTTTTTTTCTGTATAGATATATAACAAGCCATCAATTTCGCCATCACGTCATTAACTGTATTATTATGTTCACGATTCAGGTGTGCAAGATCGATCTGTTCGGATTGACCGCGGAGGAAAAGGAGGTGGCCGGTATTGTCAGAAACGTGTCGGAGGCGAAGAGCACCAAGAGCTACGACATCTTTCACATATTAGCGGAATTCATAACGGATTCGTGTCTGTTGGATTTGATACTGCCGTTGAAGGAAGTGCTGATGAAAACTCATTCGCACAAAACGATATACAAAGTCACGGAGTGTCTGAGAAACGTAACTCTAGGACTCGCGGATAACGCTTACATACCGATGGAACGCATGCTCGTGTTTCTCTACGGTGTTATCTCGGACAGTATACCAAGTCTCACGTCTGATAAGGAAAACAAAAAACCCACGAAAGAGGAAACGAGAGCCTCGGTGTTGGAGGAATCCGACTGGTACATCATACCGCCGGAACCCAAGAACAGAATGGGTTTTAAAACCGCGGCTAGAACCACCAAGCACACCAATGTTCACGTAATTATAGAATTCGGTCTGAAATTGTATCACATACTGTTGAAACGGGACAAAGTCTCCAGTTCGGAGTACAAATCTTATTTAGAACCTTTCGGATTGGTTTTGAGCAATTGTTTGGATTCTCAGTACGTTCAGTTAAGTACTGTCGCGTTACAATGTCTGAACTGGATGCTCAAGATGGACTTGGCGTCGATACAATCGTCGATGTCGAAAATCTGCAACGCCATGTTCGAGATTCTGCACAAATACGCTGCCCCGGGATTGAGCAAGGGAAATAATTTCGATCTCGTGATGGCCACGTTCAAGTGCATGTCCGTGATCGTTCGCGACGTGAAGCACTTCAACATCAGCGCCGATCAACTCAAGATTCTCATTTTGCACGCGGAGCAAGATCTTTACGACACGGACAAGCAAGCCTCCGCGTTTACCTTGCTCAAGGCCATAATTCATCGGAAGATGATCGTTCCCGAAATGTACGCCGTTATGGACAAAGTAGCGATGCTGAGCATCACCTCGGAATTGGAACACGTCAGGTTGCAATCGCGTTCCGTGTTCTATTCGTATCTGATGGAATATCCTCTGGGTAAACACTTGGAAAAACACATATCTTTTTATCTCACCCAACTGAGTTACGAGGTTCAAACGGGCCGATTGAGCGCGCTGGAAATGATCCACACTATCGTCACGGGATTTCCGTTGAAAACTCTGATAAGCAGAGTCGGCATTATATTCTTGATGACCGGTTCGCGATTGGTGAACGACGACGATCCGACTTGCCGCAAACTCTGCGCAAAGTGTATAAAGGAAATGCTCGTCCGTATACCGCCTAACGAAAGAAACAAACTATTCGACTTGATTCTTCAGTGGCTAAGCGAAACCAAAATAATACACCGAACATTGGCGGCGCAGTTGTGCGGTATATTTGTAACTGTGGAAAAAAACGACTTCGACTCGCGATTGATCAAACTGTTGCCGTTGTTGTTGAAGCAGTTCCAGACTTCTCACAAGGAACAACCGAAAAAATTCGCGAGGCTAAACAAAGCGTTTCGCATAGCAAAAAATTCCATATCGAAGGATCCGGAAAGAATGAAGGACCATCATTTATATCAGGTGTTACAGTTGCTGTTGAAAATATCGGCGTACTGCACGTCCTTTCTTACGAGCGAGAAGTACAAGGACTCCGTCAGCTCGTTTGCTGGTAAGCAAACAGAATTTGCGTTGAAGTGTTGTGCAATTCTAATTTTCAACGGAGTTATTACACATTTTTACATTTTGTTTCAGAATACGGTCAATCTTTGTTGGCTCATCCGCACATCTGGGTTCGACTGGGGGCCGCACAGTTGATCGGTTTTATTCTGGCCGCTCTTGACGTTGATAAAATTGTAGAGCTCTTGAATAATCCAGAGAACGACAACGCGAAAGAGGGCTACATGTATTCGAAACCTATTGACACTCTGCGGAGTTTGGTTTTAGATCTAATAGCGCAACTCCATCCGGACATGACGTTCGAGGAGTTAGCGGATCAAGTTGTGAAGAATTTAATCTTCACAACAAAGATATTAAAATCAATCGAAGAATCCGCAAGTAAAAGTGACGACGATGATGCAAATGAAACGAAGGATAGTAACAATTTGTCTCTTCTCTGGCTCATCAGAAAACTGAGAAGAGCTGTTAATGTGGAAATAACACAAGCTCCTAAATCAACATCAGTGGTAAATACATAACTTATTTATTAAACTATAAATACACACGTACACACACATGATGTATGTGTGTGCGTGAAAAATTTACGCGATAATAAACAAAATTGTTTGAATTGATGTTTNCAGCGAACTGCGGTGTTCAAGTGCATTGCGGGAATATTGGCCACAGTACCTGTGGAGTATCTGAACGGAATACTCTTCAATATCATGTCTCCATTGGTGCGAGAGATAGCCACGACAGAAGAAACGAACGCAGAATTATTACGCCGACTTGCCAAAGAAGTAGCTGCTATGATTAAAAAGTCCATAGGAAACGAGGAATATACTAAATTATTGAATCGAGTGCAACAGAAGTTCGATATTAAGAGAGCGGAAAGAAGAAAAGTTCGCACACAACAGGTAATTTCTTTATCTTTTCACATACGTTTGCGTATTTTTAAGACGTTATGTAATATAAACTTTACACTCTTGCAACTCCATTGCAGTTCGTGACTAATCCCGAGCTGGCGGCCAAGCGTAAATTGANTAGACAACAAAAGAAAAAAGAGGCGAAGAAAAGAAAATTAGACAATATAAGAGGAAACAAACCAGTAAAAAAACGTAAGAAGAAAGTAGAGTCAGATGAAGTGTAACTCTCTCTAATAAGTTGCGTGTGATTGTGCGCGATGTGTGTGTAAATAAATAAAATTAAAAAATATAAATGAATACAAATTTATATACATTTTTATAGAATTTGTAAAATGTACATTTCCACGTGTGATGAATTTTTTTAGATATTAAATTTTACACCGACTGTATACTTGTACATAAATTTTATTATATTAATTAGATAAGCTCGTGAAAAAAAGAGAATATTCAGGTTCCAAAGTTAGCGCGATTAATATATAGGTTAGTCTTGTATATATGTATCAATACAAATGATCAAAATAAATTACTTTTTTAAATATAAGTATAGAAAAATATAACAAGGTCTGTTTCGAGCTTTTAATGGATCTTAAAATTTATTTAAACAAAAAGCATAGAAAACGCAAATAAAATTAACAAATGACAAACGTTTCGGCCCTTACTTGAGCCCTCTTCAGTGTACAAAGATAAATATAAATATAAATATAAGTAATCACGTCATATCACAAGGTTCGCAAAAGTATATGGAAATTGAAAAGAAAAGATGATAGATCTTACATTAGAAGTCCATAGTAGGTTGTATAATGTTTGACTTCCTGAAAAGGTCGTGTAGAGAGAGTAAATAGTCACACACAATATTGTATTAATTTTTATTAATTGTTGTGCATCTTACGTCGGACAGACCAAAAGGCAACTAAAAACACGATTAAAAGAACACAAAAATGACATTAATAAAACCTCCTCACAGCTGTCTGTAATTTCAAAACATAGACTTNATTTAAATCATATTTTCGATTGGGACAATACTCAAATTTTAGACTATGAACGTAATTTTTTTAAAAGATTAATTTCTGAGACTATACATATCAAGGAACAGACACTTGGTTTAAACCTAATTAACGACACGAACTTACTTGACCATTCTTATTTTAATTTAAACTTGACTCAATAAAATCTTTCAAAATTTAAATTTAACGTAACCGTTTTACTTTGACTTTACTTTTGGTTGGTGGGGAGACTGTTATATAAGTTGTTGCTTTTACTCTCTGTTCATTGTTTGATTTTGACTTTGGATATGTAAGTTTCAAAACTTTTTAACTTTTATATTGTGTGTGACTATTTACTCTCTCTCTCTACACGATCTTTTCAGGAAGTCAAACATTATACAACCTACCTATAAACTTCTAATGTAAGATCTATCATCTTTTTTTTTCAATTTCCATATACTTTTGCGAACCTTGTGATATGACGTGATTCCTTATATTTATATTTATATTTCTTTGTACACTGAAGATGGCTCAAGTAAGGGCCGAAACGTTTGTCATTTGTTAATTTTATTTGCGTTTTATATGCCTTTTGTTTAAATAAATTTTAAGATCCATTAAAAGCTCGAAACAGACCTTGTTATATCTTTCTATACTTTTTGTTAATATTGCGAGCGAATTTTATTTAATTTAATACGTTTTTTAAATATATTCCTAATTTTATTCGTATTTTAATATAATCTTATTTTAGTTTCTTAAATGTGTTGGCATAATTCTATCGTTTACATAAACTTATGTAAATTCCATTCTTAATAATATAATGATAAAAATCAGCTCATTAGCCAAAAATAACACGCACATGTATATTTCTTGATAAATATTCACGACCGTGATGTATTTCAAACGTTTCGATCCTATTGTTTTGGATCTTCATCAATAATTGAGGATTGAAAAATTGAAACTAACTTCAAAAAAATTGATAGCAGCAAATACTGTAACAAAAAATCATCACTTCGGTTATTTAGTCAAAGAAAAATTTATAAATTATAATATATTCTAATACATTTTAAAATATTTTCTTGCTTTTAAATGTGTTCACAATTCTGTCGTTTACATAAACTTATGTAAGTTCCGTGCTATGTGGGAATATGACGATAAAAATTATAGCTTGTTATATAAAAAGAACCTCACGCACATATATATATATATATATATATATATATATATATATCTAAATAAAAAAATAGGGAGAAAACAATAACGAGCTACATTTGATGTTTGAGTGAAATTCGTTTTTAATCCAAGGAAAAAGTTTTAAAAAAATCACATATATACTATTAATAAATATACACGACCGTGATGTATTTCAAACGTTTCAATCTTATTGTTTTGGATCTTTATCAATAACTGACGATTGAGAAATTAAAACTGTCAAAATTATGATATATATGTATATATATATAAATGTGAGTATATTTATATACTCACATTTCCGCACATCTTACGAACGGCTCTTAATGACCTTACATTCATATATTTATTAGTTTAAAAATAAAGTACTTTTTTAAAATATATTCTTACTTTTATCTTGATATATTATTATATTTACATATATTTTTTATATATATTCTATATATCTCTTCTAGTATATCTATTCTGAATAATTTATATTTTTTAAATATAATCTAATATATTTTACTACCATTTATTTTTTGTATGTGTTCACATAATTCTGTCATCTACCTAAACTTATGTAAGGTCCATTCTTAATAATATGATGATAAAGATTGGCCCATTGACCAATCATATAAAAAGAGTCGCACGCACATACGTTCTCTCTTATTGTCTTAGTATATCTTTTACATGCTTTGTCGTCACTTCTCGTCACTTCTCAGTTAGCTGACAAAGTAGGAGGCCGCAACCTAATCTAAGCTTAACGAAAGAGAGCACGAGAGAGACTGTAAGAACTTCTTCTTCTACAGAAAAGCTACAGCAAAACTCCACCATCAAGTTATATATTAGATAAATTGCGCCAATATTAATTACCGCATCACTCTGTAGTTTTTGGGATATTTCGCATTCTATATTTTGTAAGTACATATGTGTGTATATTTTATATAAATTTTTCAAATCGTTTGTCTATTCTCTACTCTCAGTTATCGGCCGCATTTTTAACAGCACGCGCTGTTTGTAATATTTTTTCAACTGTTTTTCAAATATTTCAATAAAACCGAAAGTTTCAAATATTTTACAATTATGAATTTTTTAAAATTGATGTGACGTTTATTCATTGCGATCGCACTCGCGTGATTTTCTGTTGAACGTAGATTGTTTTCAATAATTTTTTGAAGGAGAAGAAACCGTTGCGTAAAATTCTGCTGAACGCAATTGTATTAATAGATACTGTACGTTACGATACTGTAGCTCTCGCACCACATTAAAAATGCGCTTCTCTTGCCCCAATCTACCAATCTAGCTGGTTGTGTAAGTGACCTACAATTTATTAGCGCAATTATTGTCGCGGGCAGTTTTCATTCAATCTGATAAACTAATCGCTTGATAAAGGATTAAGAGTTGAATAAATGTATACTACGTATACACATTACGTATACATACTACGTATACATTTATTCACATTCAGATGGATAACATTTTTATAATAATCTTTGTATTATTTGTGTAATTACAAAATCAAACTGGCGCGATATAAAATCGATAGTCGATTTCAAAGTTACTGACAAACATTTTGAAATCGGTAAAAGCTCAAGTGTATTTTTGTATAACAGGGCTCTCCAGATAAACAGAACGGTGTTGGAACTTTGTCTGTAAAAATTAAAAAATATCAGTAAAAAATATAAATATGACTACAATAATAATGATTCTGTTTATCATAACAGTTTTGCTACTTGGTGTAAAATTGCGACATACGCACACACAAAAACGACGAAATTATCCACCAGGTAATGATTTTTAATTTAAAAAATATATTCTTACTTTTCTAAGTCAAGCTAAGATTGCGCAATATGCAATTCACATATGTGCGATTCATCAGTCACAGACTTTTAATGTAAAGTCATCAAGATTTATTCGTCGCAAATTTTTCACATTGTTCGCGATTCGCAGATTGTTATTCGTGATTTGTAAAAACAATGTGCAAATCAATACATAAAGAATAAATGTAAATATTACATCATCATATTAGTGCAATAGAAAAAAAATTATATTTACGAACAAATAAAATTTTACGAAACCTCGCGGTGTATATAATAATAATTTTATTTAACACAATGATAAATATTCAATTTTACGTATTATTACTCAATTATTTTATTTTTTGTTTATCAATTAAATATTATTTAATTCTTTATTAATCACTCATACAAACACCTATAGCCTGTGACGAAAAATGCTAAATTTTTAGGTCCTTTTTCTTGGCCACTGATCGGAAATCTGTTTTATGTGCGCAAACTGACCAAAGAACTCGGTGCGCAATATCTTGCTTTTGATTATCTCAGCAAGAAATACAAGAGTAATGTAATAAATTTGCAATTGGGTGCTAATGTAGTGGTTATCAATGATTCCAAGCTTATGCACAATTTGATGCAAAAAGACGAGTTTAATGCTCGTCCGTGGAACACAATGTCCAAGCTGCGAAACATGGGAATGAAGAAGGGTAACGAATTTGAATTGTATTTTTAATTTCGTATTCCGATGTGTATTTAAATTCGGATAGCAAAATAACGTCGTTTTGACGTCGCCTTGCTACAGTTTTGATCAAAAATCAACTGTACGCTACGATTACATGTTCTCATGCTTCCACTAGAAGTTTTTTTTTTATTACATTGTTTTCTTATAATTTAATTGCTAATTTTGCTAATTCCTTGTCTTCAAAGGTCTCACGATGAACGTCGGTTCCGAGCACAAAGAATTGCGCGCGTGGTCTTTACGTACAATGCGACACATCGGATACGGCCAACGGACGATGAATGATTTTCTTCTGAACCAACTTCAAATCATCTTAGACAAATTGAAAGAGGGAAATGTACGATGTATGAAACCTGTAATCGCACCTGCCACAATCAACACGCTCTGGTTGTTGATCGCGGGAAAACAGATTTTTGACAGCGACAAAAGGTTGCAGTCATTTTTGCATCTAATGGAATGTCGCGCGAAAGTGTTCGACATGTCCGGTGGAATTATGTCGTCATTCCCCTGGTTATGTTACATCGCACCCAATATGACAGGATACAACATTTTATTGGAATTGAATGAAAAGCTCAGGGATCTTTTAATGGTTTGTAATATCTTTTTATTTAAAGACAATTCTTTGATGAAGCTTTTGGAAAAAAAATTTAAAGTGTACAAAAGATCATTCACGTTCACTTGTAAGTTCCGTTTGTCTTGTTTTTACATCTAATTTATTATTATTTTTTTAATTTCGGCGCTTGTCTTCTACTCGTCACAACACTTACACTGTCTTGCTATTATTCATTGTTTAGGACTTTATTAATAAACACAAAGAGCGATATCAGTACGGAAGCGAGACGGACTTTATCGATTGGTTTCTTCGCGAGATGTCGGAGCACGGGGGGGACAAGAATGACTCTGTGTTCGAGGGTATAAATGTTTTTGTATTCTAAAACTATCATATAAAGTTACAAATAAAGATCAATTTCGAGCAAAAAAATATTCAAACGTTATGTTTAAACAAATTTAAAGATTTAGTACGTACGTCCAAGCAAAACGTTACGATTTCTTACAAGAGTTGTCTTTGCAAAAAAAGTATCACATTAATTATTATTATAATTTGAATTTTATTGTCAATACCTTACGTTGTTATGTGTGTCACACAATGTACGCGGCGTTGCTTTGAATTGATAACAAATTGCACTGAGAAGTGACTATGTTGTTTTACGCACTTTTTGGTACTTCTCGAAGATGTTCTATTTACATAAAAGATACTCGAAGCTTCTTTTTATCTCTCGGATATTACGCGCGGTCGAGGAAATTAACGCTTCCACTTGCAAATCGGAGTGTGCTAATGAAAGCACCGTCGAGAGAAAGTATTTTCTTCGCGAATGTTCTCTCGAAACTACAGATGTAAAATATAATATATTGTATATATTCTGTATATATTCTCTTTTTCAGATAACAATCTGCTTCTCATCTTGGTGGACTTTTTTATCGCCGGAATTGGCACGACGACGCCGGCTTTAGAGTTCCTTTTTTTAGAAATGGCCAATCACCAGGATGCACAGCTCAAACTGCACGAGGAAATCGATCGAGTGATCGGTCCCGACAGATTTCCCGATACGACCGACAGGAGTAAAATGAATTATACCGAGGCTGTGATAACCGAGTGCATTAGAAAATGGATGATTATCCCGGTGATTAGTCGAGAAACAATGGTGGACACAACAATCGAAAATTACAAAGTACCGCGAGGTACCACAGTATTGTTTAACATAGCTTCAAACAATCGCAACGCGTTGCTATTTCCCGATCCTATGTCGTTTAAACCCGAAAGATTTCTAAGGGATGGCATTTTTCAAATAGATGATAACCTATTGCCATTCGGAAAAGGCAAGTAACTCATTACATTTGTAGTACAATAATTTACGTTGTTGCAAAGCTAAAAACGGTGCGAAATCGAAATAAAAAACTTCGTTCTCTGTATCTTGGAGTTTTGTTCCTTAAAAATGTATTTTGTATGTTTTTTCAGGGAAACGACGATGTCCTGGAGAAATTCTCGCTAGATCGGCGCTATTTTTCTTTTTTATTGGCGTGATGCAAAAGTATCGAGTCCTTCCGCCAAACAATCAAGACTTTATCAAAATAGAAGTAAACGCAGGATTGACGATAAATCCGAAGCCTTATAAAATTCTAATCGTTCCACGATAACTTTGTTTAGATTGAACGAATGAATAATAATGCTATGAATCTAAGTCTTCAAAACATTCTTAACATATGTCGAATTTTTAGATGAAAAAGTCTTTGATGCCGACATTATAAGTGTTAAAAAAAATAATTGATGGTAATTTAAAGATTATACGTTGTAAAAAAATTCATAATATAATTTGTTTTAATTCTTGTTATTTCATTTCTTCTATGTTAGTTCATTATTTCTTATGTAGCATTTCTTTTAAATCTTAAACTACTTTCTCTTAATATATTATAGTGTGTATTATATATGTAAAACACAGAGAGAAAGAACTTGATAAGTCACTTGTTCGTAATTTTAGAAAAAAGCGATTTTTAAGTTTGAAACGTACGTGTATTTCTTTGTATATACGTTTGTATATACGTTTCATAAAAATGTTGATATCTCGGTATCTATCAAGAATGTTTTCTTCTTATTTTAGATAATAAAAATATTCTATTTTAACTATCACATAACATTAAAAACATAAAATTTTGGAAAAACTTTACTTATCAGTTAATACAAGAGTTCTCTTCTCCTATCGTCTTCATATATTATACATATTATACATATTATACATATGTATATATATAATCTTTTTTTATACATATGTATATAATTTATACATATGTATATATATAATCTATTTTTTTGGTTTTTACTTAAAAAAAACGAATACTTATTAACATACAATCTTATAAAAGGATTTCTCGTAAGTTTGAGATAAAACGGTTTTGGCGACCAAAGTGAAGCCGTCGTAACAGTTCGCGTCCGATTTGTCATGAAAAAGTGAGATTTCCATGTCAAAGTAGTGCACAGCACGTAAACAAGAAGAACAACGACAAGCGTGCCAGCCGGCCTCCCAGACAGCGCTTTTACCTGAAACGCACGTAATAACAGCTCGTATTGTTCTTACAGTCACAATGGCGCGAGTTGATTATGACGCGCGAGACGTAAGATTCGCGCGGTGTAGAGAAACAAACCCATAAAATGTACAATATGTATTTTGCAACGCCTATTGTTTTACTAAGGCCGAAAAATAAGGCGTGACTGTTCCGGCGAAATTTGCCTTCTTCGTCGAGAAATCGTTCCGGACGGAATTTGTCTGGTTCTTCCCAGTACTGCGTGTCATTGTGAACACTGTGAAAGTCGAAGAGAACAATTGTGTCCTGCGAAAATACGAGATTTCGTCGTGAAATGGGATATATACATATATAGAATCGGTAAATTGTTTGTGTTTGCAAGAAGTTTCGAAATTCTTACCTCGGGTATTCGATATCCGTTCAGGAAGACGTCTTTTTCGGCTCTGTGAGGAACGCCGAGCGGCGCCAAGATCAAATATCTCTGCACCTGAGTTGTTTATTCATGTATCGAGTCAACGCGTTTCAAATCGCCATTTATGTTATACGTTTCCATTATAATGTCTTAATACGTCTATTAATATGTATATTAATATGTCTATCAACTCTAATCCTGTAAACGTATTTTTAGGTACGTTTTCTTAGGTACGTATTTCGCAAACTCCAAATAGTTATGTTTGATGCAATGTTTTTATTGGTCAAAACGTTGCAAAAACTGTGTAAAAATGTACAAGACTTTATTCAACATTTTATATTAAAGAAATAACATTAATTTTGACATAATTTTTTGTGATTTTGAAATGTTTTTAATAAATAGTTAATAAGATTGTCTCATTTTCAAGAATTGCTCGGGATTTACAGGATTAGTGTTACTATGTCTCACCTCAGCTAAGAAGGCTCGCGTTACTGGCAAGAACGGTAGATCTTCGTTGGGAGCTCTGTGTTTGCGGACAACGTTGTCTCATTTTTCTTGAATTGCTTTCAACCACTCAAGATTCAGCGACAGAAAGAGAAACGTCGTGGCCAAGGTGTTGTCGGTGATTGTTTTCGAATTAGCCATAAAGAGATCGAGGCACGATATCAATAAATTTTCACTTGTGATATAAAATTCACATGAGTCTCGCAAACAGTAAACAAGGTTTTGATTTTCTTTACGAAAATTATATTCACGATCACAAATCGCGTATTCTCAGTTCTGTCGTTCTTCGAAAAATCTCCAATATAAATTTATCAATCAGATCGTGCGGCTTATCTTGGATCGAGGTGCTCTCGTGCATCTCAATTTTCTCGTCGAGAAAACAATGTGACATTGTTACATTTTGCCGCGTCGAAACATCATCTGTTCCACATAAATAGTGTGTCGTTTGATGTGGTACTCAATGCTATAGTGAAAAAAATGTGTTTGCACACTACGTTGATGTTTGGTTGATCGTAACGCACATGTATTCCATGAGTTTTAACGTCGAAGATTTGTGGAAGCCTTCAAGACAAGGTGATAAGAAAAGCGCCATGCAACTTGTCTATCTGGCGGAATCTGAATCCGCATCGATACAAACTTTTCGGACGAAACTGTTGCCTTTGCAAGCTTTAGAATTTCGGACTAGCGCAATAGCCAATCTAGATCCGAGGTATTGCGAATTTTCACTGCGTTTGCCTGACAAGCAATTTTTGTTCGTCAATAATATTTTATTTCTTTTTTAATGTATTTACAACTTTGTCGCTTACATAAACTTATTTAAGTACCATCCTTACTAATATGACAATGAAGATTATAGTTTATTACTGACCAATTATATAAAACGAACCGCACTTATGTTTGCTCTTATTGTGTAAGTATATTTTTTGCTCTGTCGTCAATTCTCGTCACTTCTCAGTTAGTTGACAAAGTAGGAATCTAATTTAAGCCGCAATCTAATTTAAGATTATTGAAAAACACGAGAGAAACTGTAAGAACTTTTTCTTTCTCTTCTACAGAAAAGGTACAACAAACCTTTGTCACCGAGTTATTTGAGATAAAATTGCGCCAATATTAGTTACTGCATCACTCTGTAGTTTTTTGGATATTCCGCATTCTATATTTTGTAAGTACATATGTGTGTATATTTTATATAAAGTTTTTAAATCGTTTGTTTTTTTTCTACTCTCAGTTATGGGCCGCATTTTTGAATGCAATGGTTACGCGTTGGTTGTGAAAGTTTTTCAACTGTTCCTAAAATATTTCGATGAAATTGAAAATTTCAAACGTACAATTATGAATTATTTTTTAATTGGTGTGACGGTTATTCTCATTGTGATCACACTCGTGATTTTCTGTTAAACATAGATTGTTTTCAACACTTTTTTGAAGAAAAAGGAACCGTTGCGAAAAATTTTGCTGATCACAGGTGTAATACTCTATAAAGGTTTTTTATTACTTTCTATCTGCAATCCAGGGTCGTTTTTGTCGCACTGTATCTTTCTCTATGTTGAAGGTATAGAAAAATTCTAAACAACTTTATGTAATATCTTTACATCGTTTCTATTTCACAAATCTATCAAATTTTTTTGTAAAAAATGAATGTATTTAAATAATTTTGCAATGTAAACGAAGTAACTCTAGTGTAGTAACTCAAAGTGCAATTTTGTTTAAAAAATCGTGATTTTCTAAGAAATGGACCGTATTGAAAAATAAAGTGTTTTCATTGACTATAAAGATTGCAGGTTTTATAAAAAAATTATGCTATTGCATTTTATTCAATATTTTGATTTTTTAAGTTTTTGTATTTTGGTTTCTTTGAATTTCATTCTGTCACTGTGGCTGTTGAAGTTGTACTGGAGATCTAAAAGGTGGCCGTTGCATATTGTTCGTGTACAATTTTTTGTAGTGTGGGGTCAAACTCCTTTTTTTTTCTTCGTCTGTAAATTATAAGTGCAAATAAATTTTCCGAAACCACGAATGACCCTGATTTGCAGTTTAAGGGGTAATAGACGTATGTTGTAGCTCTCGCAGCACATTAAAAATGCACACAATGTATCACTAGTATGTAGTCTTGTTACACAATCTACCAATCTAGCTGGTTATGTAAGTAATCTATACAATTTATGAGCGCAATTATATTGTCGCGTGCATTTCTTATTCTTTAATTTGATGAACTAATTGTCGAGTTTGATTAAGGATTAAGACTTCACTAATGAGTAATACACACACATTTAGACGGATGTATTAATCTATGATAAATTGTAAAATATTAAATTTTAAATTATTTGTGCAATTATACGACATCGAACTGGCGCAATATAAAATCAAGAATCATTTTAAATTTAATGACAAAAACTGTGAATCTGTAATTGTTGGCTCAAGTAAAAGCTGAAGTGTATATTTGTATGGCATTTTTCAGACAAACAGAACGAATCGGCGATAAAACTCTTGTCTTTCAAATTAAGAAATTATCAGTAAAATATAATGACTACACTACTAATTCTGCTTATCTTGACTGTTTTATTTTTTGGTCTAAAGTTGCTACAGACACGACGAAATTATCCACCAGGTAATTAAAATTTTTATCTTAGACAATAAAGATTTGGTTTTCTAAGTTAAGCTAAGATTGCGCAAATTGCAACCCAATTATTTGACTTACAGACTTTTGTTGTAAATTCGTCACGATTTATTAATCGCATTTGTAAGCTTTTGACATTGTTCGCGACTCGCAGATTGTTACTCGTGATTTGTACACTTGTTTGAAATGTTTCTAAATAGATACATAAAAAATAAATGCAAATATTATACTGTTAAATTATTGTAATATAAAAAAATCACTTGCAAACAAATAAAATTTTATAACTTTGCGTTTTCTATCACGACGATGTAAATAGAAGATTTGATAAAATACTAAATATTCAATTTTACAAAAAATTGAAGACACGATAGTTTGTGACAAAAAATGTTGAACTTTTAGGTCCTTTTTCTTGGCCACTGATTGGAAATGTGTTGTATGTGCGCAAACTGACCAAAGAACTCGGTGCGCAATATCTTGCTTTTGAATATCTCAGCAAGAAATACAAGAGTAATGTAATAAGTTTGCAATTGGGTGATAATGTAGTAGTTATCAATGATTCCAAGCTTATGCACATTTTGATGCAAAAAAACGAGTTTAACGCACGTCCGTGGAACACAATGTCCAAGCTGCGAAACATGGGAATGAAGAAGGGTAACAAATTTGAATTGTATTTTTAATTTTGTATTTCGATGTGTATTTCAATCAGGATAGCAAAACACCGTCGTTTTGACGTCGCCTTGCTACAGTTTTGATCAAAAATCACCTGTACTCTCCGACTAAATGTCCTCATGCTTTCACTAGAAGTTTTTTTTTTTATATTACATTGTTTTCTTATAATTTAAATGCTAATTTTGCTAATTCCTTGTCTTCAAAGGTCTCACGATGAACGTCGGTTCCGAGCACAAAGAATTGCGCGCGTGGTCTTTACGTACAATGCGACACATCGGATACGGCCAACGGACGATGAATGATTTTCTTCTGAACCAACTTCAAATCATCTTAAACAAATTGAAAGAGGGAAATGTACGATGTATGAAACCCGTAATTGCAGCTGCCACAATCAACACGCTCTGGTTGTTGATCGCGGGAAAACAGATTTTTGACAGCGACAAGAGATTGCAGTCATTTTTGCATTTAATAGAATGTCGCGCGAAAACGTTAGACATGTCCGGTGGAATTATGTCGTCATTCCCCTGGTTATGTTACATCGCACCCAATATGACAGGATACAACATTGTATTGGAATTGAATGAAAAGCTCAGGGATCTTTTAATGGTTCGTAATATCTTTTTATTTAAAGACAATTTTTTGATGAAGCTTTTGGAAAGAAAATTTAAAGTGTACAAAAGATTATTCAGGTTCGCTTGTGAGTTCAGTTTATCTTGTTTTTACATGTACTTTATTATTATTTTTTTAATTTCGGCGCTTATTTTCTACTCGTCACAACATTTACACTGTCTTGCTATTATTCGTTGTTTAGGACTTTATTAATAAACACAAAGAGCGATATCAATACGGAAGCGAGACGGACTTTATCGATTGGTTTCTTCGCGAGATGTCGGAGCACGACAAGAATGACTCTGTGTTCGAGGGTATAAATGTTTTTGTATTCTAAAATTACCATATATAAAGTTACAAATAAAGATCAATTTCGAGCAAAACAATATTCAAACGGTATGCTTAAACAAATTTAAAACTTTAGTACGTCCAAGTAAAACGTTACGATTTCTAACAAGAGGTGTCTTTGCAAAAAAAATATTACATTAATTATTATTATAATTGTTTGAATTTTATTGTCACTACGTTACGTTGTTATATGTGTCACACAATGTACGCGGCGTTGCTTTGAATTGATAACAAATTGCACTAAGAAGTGACTATGTTGTTTTACGCACTTTTTGGTACTTCTCGAAGATGTTCTATTTACATAAAAGATACTCGAAGCTTTTTTTTATCTCTCGGATATTACGCGCGGTCGAGGAAATTAACGCTTCCACCTGCAAATCGGAATGTGTTAATGAAAGCACCGTCGAGAGAAAGTATTTTCTTCGCGAATGTTCTCTCGCAACTACAGATGAACAATATAATATATTGTATATATTCTGTGTGTATATATTTTCTTTTTCAGATAACAATCTGCTTCTCATCTTGGTGGACTTTTTTATCGCCGGAATTGGCACGACACCGCCGGCTTTAGAGTTCTTATTTTTAGAAATGGCTAATCACCAGGATGCACAGCTCAAACTGCACGAGGAAATCGATCGAATGATCGGTCCCGACAGATTTCCCGATATGACCGACAGAAGTAAAATGAATTATACCGAAGCTGTAATAATCGAGTGCATTAGAAAATGGAAAATTTTTCCGATGATAAATCGAGAAACGGTCAAGGACACAATAATCGAGGGCTACAAAGTACCGCGGGGTACAGCGGTATACTTCAACACAGCTTCTTTCAACCACGACGCGACGCTATTTCCCGATCCGATGTCGTTCAAGCCCGAAAGGTTTTTGAAGGACGGTATTTTTCAAGTAAATGAAAACTTAATGTTATTTGGAAAAGGCAAGTAAATCACTACATTCGTAGTACAATAATTTACGTTGTTCAAAATTAAACTTTGCGACATCGAAATAAAACTCCGTACTTTGTATCTTCGAGGTTTGTTTCTTAAAAATGTATTTCTTATGTTGTTTATTCAGGAAAACGACGATGTCCTGGAGAAATACTCGCCAGATCGGCGCTGTTTTTTTTCTTTGTTGGCGTGATGCAAAAGTATCGGGTTCTTCCGCCGAACAATGAAGATTCTATTAAAATAGAAGTGAACGTAGGATTGACGATCAATCCGAAGCCGTATGAACTGCTAATCGTTCCACGATGACTTCGTTTATAGTAACCGAGTAAATGTATACTATACAAGTTAATGTTCTAAACATTCTTAACATAGCAAATTTTTGAGTGATAAGTGTTTTGTAGACATTTAAGGTAAAAAATAAAAATAATTAAGGCAAACAATCCAATGTTTTGGAGCCGAATATATCGCATCTATTGTTGTTTCTTTTTTGCGTTGCCGATTGGTTGATTGGTTGAACGAGTCGAATCGAATTGATAAGATCGAGAGAGTAAATAATGAAAAGCGATTTTGGGGCAGGTCGTCGTATATGTAGAGAAAATTAAAAACGGAACGAAAGTTGCGTGACAGGAAAGAGTAGACAAACAACACGTGAAAATAACGTGACTTTAATTTATATTATATATAACATTTAATAATACATATTATACATATAATTTATTATACATTTATAATATTATACTTTATATTGTATTATATGTAGTATATACATACTACAGAAATGTAACTGACCTCCGCCGCGCGACCTTGGCGGGGTCACTGACTTCGTATATATTTCATGAGCGTGGAATACATGTGTGTCTTTTTTGATGTCGAAGAGTTGAGNAAGTCTTCAAGACAAGGTGATAAGAAAAGCGCTATGCAACTCGTCTATCTGATGAAATCTTAATTTGCATTGATACAAACTTTCCGGAAAAAACTGTTGTCCTTGCAAGAGCTTTAGGATTTCGGACTAGAACAATAGCCAATTTAAATCCGAGGTATTACGAAGTTGTACCGCGTTTATCTGATAAGCAATTTGTTCGTCAATATTATTTTATTTCTTTTTTAATGTATTTACAACTTTGTCGCTTACATAAACTTATGTAAGTTTCTATCTTATTAATATGACAGTAAAGATTATAGTTTATTACAAACC